GAGAAGGTGTAAGACAAGGCAATCACATATAGCCAGAAAAATGTTATTTTTCCATTTTATCATGGGCTTTTCTAGTTGAAAGCCCATGATTTTATCCACTAAATCGCAACGTCCGTTTAGTAAAGATTTTGATGTATAAACATTTATTGATGGATTGGAGGCTAGGATAAAAATGCTGTTGTTGTGTTGCATAAGCCGCTGTTTCCTCGACAGTTCACCTCTTGTACTGTAAATTTTTTTGTGCTCTCTCATGTGCTTTTAAAAATTCTCACTTGTGAGGAAAATATTATGCAAAAATATCTCGTCACGTGAAAAATTCTAAAATCAGCATTGAAATCTAATGGGCAATAGATTTGGAAGTGTATTCTGTGATGTCCCTGGGCTGATGTCCCTGCATTCACGATAAACTTCGTCAAGATGTGCTGATCTAGAAGTCATCCCCAGGTCTTCATCATACTTTTTGCCATCTTAAAATGGGATTCCCTGTATTCTCGTGACTATAGCAAAGCCAATACAAGTGATTAATTTCATTAAACATTGATGATTGAGCGATGGAGCAAGCCCAAGAATTCTAGAAAAAAATGTGTACATAATTTCTGGACCTCAGAGAACAAACTTCCGGCTTGTTATTCAAAATAAAAAGTGCTCCGTCGGGGAATCGAACCCACGCCGCAGAAGCGGAAAACGAGCACTCTAACCACTATACCAGAGTGTTTTACCATGATATGACTAATCTTTTTGCAACTCTATAGTGATATACATGTGTGAAATTTTTAAGTGGCATTCTGGGTTGACAAACTTTCGAGAGTGGTGTTTTATTGTTTAGATGACGAAAACTTCAATAAAAAACAATATAAACACGGATTATAAACACAAAGGCTCTCTAGCCAAAATACTATGTTCACAGCTAAATAGCCTTAAATTTTAAGGCTCTTTAGCATTTTGGCTAAAGAGCCTTAAATTTTAAGGTACTCCAGACACTTCGAAATGGGAAATGGAGGAACCATGAAGAAACATATCAATTTTTTGTAAAATAAAGTTAGCAAATTCAATTGCCTGCCTAACTCGTTTTTTGCAAGGACTCGATGGATTGATATTCTGTCATATGACTTGCAGCAAACCTAACATTTCCCATTGGTTAACATGGGAATGTCGATTTTCAAAAATTCATCAAATTTATCATCAATTTTCGTCTTATTGTAACTGAGGAAAAAATGAGAAAAGTTCAAGGTATTGGAAATAAAGTCAAATTATGTTTCCATCAATAGTATAAGTATTTTCATCGCAGGTTAAGTAAATAAAAATTCAAAGGCTTTAACATGTAGTTCAATGGGGGAGCTATAGTTGCCAAACTTATGGAGGGGAGTGTATATGTATTTGGTAGTAAGCTAGCACCCAAAAATGTATTAGTTCCTGAACAAATTTACTTGTTTACAAAGTAACTTGTTTCTTATGTATTTTTATGTGATACTTCAGAAATTTTTGTCTGACGCGCCATATCCGGGGCGAAAATTGTCAAAATGGGGTTTTCGACCCTAAAACCTTAAAATTTAAGGCTCTTTAGCATTTTGGTAACCCATTTGGCTAGAGAGCCTTAAATTTTAAGGCTCTCCAGGAACGGCCAATTTTAAAATTATATGATCAGACTCACACCCTGACATATACCACATAAGTTTCTCATATTAAGTTATTTTATTTCAGCATATAATTATGCACAAGGATAACTGTATTTTATTTACAAGTAGGCTGCATCTTGTTAGACCAAAACAATTAAAAGCATCAAGTTTCATTAGAGCTGCTTAGAACACTTCTTATCTTTAGTCCCCAAACTTCTGGATATGCTCTGCCATTAATTGGCGATATTTAAAGACCAATAAGGGCTTGGGTCGCCACAGAAGATACAATATACAGTCCTTTAATTCTGGGCAATTCCAGTGATTTAGTCCTCATTGCTACTGTATGCATTTATTTTATCATAAGACACATTTATCCATGTAAAGGTCATTTTATAATACATGTAATTAAAATGTACATATACCCAGAGGCATGTCTCTGATGTACCTATATCCCTGGGGGTTCACTGTATATAAATTTTGGCGGGGGTCCTAGGCTGAACCCTCAGATATCAATAGTTCCCATACCAATCTATCAATTTCAATGTGTTCCCATACCAACCAAAATAATGCCCAAAAGCTATACCAAATGTCCAAATATAGGACCAATGCCATACCAAATGTCCAGATATAAGACCAATGCCATACCAAATGTCTTAAATAGGACAAATGTCATACCAAATGTCCAAAGTAGAAAAAAACTAATATTTAAACTGAAGAAGGCCTTGAGAAGAAGGCAAATCTATGGAGAAAACGATCCAAAACAACCAAAACCATCCCACATGTGTGAGGTAACATTTTCCACGACCATTCTCATACCAGAGAGTGGAAAATCGGACCATTGCCATACCTCAAGTCATAATTTTGGGGGCATTCACATACCAGATCCTAAAACTTGGGTCCACTACCATACCAAATGTCAAAAAAAGGTACCCCATGTGCACCGAGGATCCCTGTCAAGGTTTATATACAGTGAACCCCCCCAGGACCTATCATGTAATATCAATAAAGTATAACAAAGGACGATTCTCGGTTTGGAGAACGAAGTTCATCAATCTAAATGAGCATTATCCCTGCTTCGGATAAATTTGATTTTTTTTACATAATATAGATTTGAATGTCTACTTTTGAACAGTCATAATTTAATTTGGGTAATATTTCTAGATTTTTCGCGAAGAAATATTAGCACAGTACACTGATGAACTTTTTTCCCCAAATCGAGACTTGTATTTTATTGAATCGGTCAAATTGAACGTTATCCCTGCTTCAGACCAATTTGTAAATTCTACATCTTGTAGATTTAAATGTCCTCTTTTGAATATCTATAGTTTAATTTGGGTAATATTTCTATATTTTTCATTAAAAAATTATTAGCCCAGGAGACTGTTCTCCAAACCGAGAATCGTCCTTTATGACCAAAATAATCAGATGTAGATAAAACTTGTTAATCTTAATGTAAATGCTTTTTTAGGTCAAAATGTGACCCCATGCTAATCCTGCTGGTCCAAGTCTTATTCAGACTAGACAGGTTTTACTGTACAGTATAACTTATAGAGAATTCATGTCTTGAACTCTGCAGTAATTGGTTATGAGCCTACTTTTACAAGGACGGAAGACTTGAGTGTTTTACTCTTCATATAGTGGATGGAATTCTTAATGATTGTGAGTATATAATTAAATCAAATATTAAATTACTTTATTCCATAGTTAGCATGATATTCATAGGATAACATGTGAAAATAAAAACGGTATTTTTGAAATCCGTGGTAAAATATGATATTTTGGACAAATTTTCACTTAACCATAACATACGGTTTTTTAGCCATGACATACGACGTCGTATGCGATGGTTTATGGATTTTTGCTACTTCAGACTCAAAACGAGGCTAAGTGTCAACATCGCCGGATCGTTTGGAAATTCGAATTAAATAACTTAATTTCCGACGGTTCTGATGATGACTTTAACTATGGAATAAATAGAACATCCTATGATTTACTCGTGATATGATTTTAATCCACTCATGGATATTGATATCTGCACTCTCTCGCTACGCTCGCTCGTGCAGATATCATATCCATTCGTGGATAAAAATCATATCACTCATAAATCATAGGATATCCTCTATCTATCAAAATCAAATAAAAAACTTAAATATTTCAAAACAAATAATACTTAGCTTTCGCATTGTAATTTAGTACAGTATAATCACAAGAAATCAACTCTTATTCAGTGCACAGATACAGTATTTGACATTTGTTATAATAATTGATAATTAGTTTTCAAATCAACTTTCCTCAATATACTATGCAGCACAGATTGTATCTTCCTTTGTTTGTACCAACATGATGTGCATCCCATTGTTTGTACAAATATATTGTTCATTCCATTATTCCACAAACATATTGTACATTCCATTGTTAGCTTCAACTTATTGTGCATTACATTATTTGCACAAACATATAGTGCATTCCATTGTTTGTATAAAACAGATTGTACATTCCATTGTTTATGCCTTTATATTGTACACTCCATTGTTTGTAGAAAACAGATTGTACATTCCATTGTTTATGTCTATATATTGTACATTCCATTGTTTGTAGAAAACACATTGTACATTCCATTGTCTATGTTTATATATTGTACATTCCATTGTTTGTAGAAAACAGATTGTACATTCCATTGTTTATGTCTATATATTGTACATTCCATTGTTTGCTTCAGCATATCGTACATTCCATTGTCTACACCAACATATTGTACATTCCATTGTTTGCATAAACATATTGTACATTCCATTGTCAACACCAACATATTGTACATTCCATTGTTTGCATAAACATATTGTACATTCCATTGTCAACACCAAAATATTAGAGAGCTTTCGATAAAAGTTGTTTCAAAAACGTATACGTAAACTTGTACTTTAAAGGTTGACGCATATCGTTCAGCAAATCGAACGCCTGTTTTTTGGTGTTGCTCACCGTTTAGTATAAAAGGCACGATCCGGGATAAAACTCAAGGGTATATCAGGTTTGAGGTCGTGGTGTAAACACCTCTGCCTGTTTTTGTAGCAATAGTATAGAATAGATCATCATACATTTATAAAATAGAGATTTTTGTTTTGACAAATCAATTTCACATTTTATTGGGGACGTTTAGGACCTTCTATTTGTGAGTAATAGGAGAATTTGACATCTAAACCCCATTACGTATTAGCACACAACATGGCTTATAAAATGTCCTACAAATGAAGCAAAGCAGTTTGAATGAATACAAGGATTTATGTTGGCTGATGTACATGCATCCTTTGGATAATTCACTCTCTTGTTGACAGAAACATTGTAGAATATCATTTTATCTACAAGACGATTTCAATAAACTAGAATTTACAAAACTCCCCTATTTCTTAAAAATGGACTGATCCAGTTGACTCGCCATATTGTTTTTGTCCGGGAAACTTGACGTAATCCTTTAAAGGGTCTTGGCACACTAAAATCAAATTGTAATTAAGGAATAAATAATGATAGGCCATTCAATATGGTGAAATTCAGCATGAGTTGGACAGAATGTCGTACAAAGTACTGACATTCTGTCCAACTTCTGTCTGACTACCATTTTGATACACTATTCAATCCAATCTGTGCTTGCGCTTCCTGGAGCGAGCCATTTGATTGCATAATAAAAACTCTCTCTTTTTATACAGGGTGTTTCATAATGTTCATCTCCAAAGTCAATTTGAGATAGACCTATAATGTATATACCATATAAGAATTCCTTTTTTACTTTAGACCAAGAGATCTTACAAATGTGATAATAAATACAGTTTAAAAGTTGCAAATGGTTTGCATTTGAACATTATATTACATCCTACATCTAGAGATTTTTGACTAATAACCTTTGTTATGTAACACCTTGTATTTTTATTTAGAGGTACAAGTTTATGTACAGGTTGGCCAAATAACCTATATTGAAAGCTCTCTATTTTACATTTCACTGTTAGCTTCAACATATTGAACATTACATTATTTGCACAAACATATTGTACATGCCATGGTTTGCATCAACATATTATGCATTCCATCATTTGTACCAATATATTGTACATTCCATTGTTAGCTTAAACATATTGTGCATTCCATTGTTATCTTAAACATATTGTACATGCCATGGTTTGCATCAACATATTGTGCATTCCACCATTTGTACCAATATATTGTACATTCCATTGTTAGCTTAAACATATTGTGCATTCCATTGTTATCTTAAACATATTGTACATGCCATTGTTTGCATTATAATATTGTGCATTCCATTGATTGAACCAACATATTGTACATTCCATTGTTAACTTAAACATATTGTGCATTCCATTCTTATCTTAAACATATTGTACATGCCATTGTTTGCATCATAATATTGTGCATTCCATTGATTGAACCAACATATTGTACATTCCATTGTTATCTTAAACATATTGTACATGCCATTGTTTGCATCATAATATTGTGCATTCCATTGATTGAACCAACATATTGTACATTCCATTGTTAGCTTAAACATATTGTGCATGCCATTGTTATCTTAAACATATTGTACATGCCATTGTTTGCATCATAATATTGTGCATTCCATTGATTGAACCAACATATTGTACATTCCATTGTTATCTTAAACATATTGTACATGCCATTGTTTGCATCATAATATTGTGCATTCCATTGGTTGAACCAACATATTGTGCATGCCATTGTTATCTTAAACATATTGTACATGCCATGGTTTGCATAATAATATTGTGCATTCCATTGTTAGCTTAAACATATTGTGCATGCCATTGTTAGCTTAAACATATTGTGCATGCCATTGTTATCTTAAACATATTGTACATTTCACTGTTAGCATCATCATATTGTCCATTCAATTGAATGAACCAGCATTTTGTACATTATAACATAGTCTAATGACTGACAATCCAAAGATTTGTATATATGGTGCTGATTGGCAACTAACTGACATGGTCAAAACTTGCAGAATGTCAACTACCTCATAGGGTTTGAACTTCTTGACGATGATCTAGAATTTATTTGTGATGATGACCTCTGAAGCTGCATTAACTCCTGGAATATAGAAGGTCTATATTAATAATAATGAACTCATTTTACAAATCCCTCCACTATTTAATCTTAACAAGGCACAGACGTGAACAATATCGTGCCTAAAACACAGCATTGTGGTCTTGTTGACCAAGAAAGCAAGATGGCCGCAGAAAAGTTAATCAGCTCTAGAACCTATCACTGTGTAACATATGTAAAAAATTTGAACGGTTTGGCTGGAAACCTGTAGACAAGTCTTGAAAGTGAAGATTTTAGGACGGAAAATCCAAAATGGCCACCTTAAGATTTACCCAGAATGCCCAAAAACTAATCAGTTCTTGACGTTGATATGTAGAAACATCCCTGAAAATTTCAGATGAATCCCTCAAATGGTTTGTCTGAAAATCTGTAGACAAGTCTTGAAAGTGAAGATTTTATGACAGAAAATCCAAAATGGCCACCTTAAAATTTAACCAGAATGCCCAAAAACTAATCAGTTCTTGACGTTGATATGTAGAAACATCCCTGAAAATTTCAGATGAATCCCTCAAAAGGTTTGGCTGGAAACCTGTAGACAAGTCTTGAAAGTAAAGATTTTAGGATGGAAAATCCAAAATGGCCACCTTAAAATTTACCCAGAATGCCCAAAAACTAATCAGTTCTTGACGTTGATATGTAGAAACATCCCTGAAAATTTCAGATGAATCCCTCAAATGGTTTGGCTGGAAACCTGTAGACAAGTCTTGAAAGTGAAAATTTTAGGACGGAAAATCCAAAATGGCCACCTTAAGATTTACCCAGAATGCCCAAAAACTAATCAGTTCTTGACGTTGATATGTAGAAACATCCCTGAAAATTTCAGATGAATCCCTCAAATGGTTTGGCTGGAAACCTGTAGACAAGTCTTGAAAGTGAAGATTTTAGGACGGAAAATCCAAAATGGCCACCTTAAGATTTACCCAGAATGCCCAAAAACTAATCAGTTCTTGACGTTGATATGTAGAAACATCCCTGAAAATTTCAGATGAATCCCTCAAATGGTTTGGCTGGAAACCTGTAGACAAGTCTTGAAAGTGAAGATTTTAGGACGGAAAATCCAAATTGGCCACCTTAAGATTTACCCAGAATGCCCAAAAACTAATCAGTTCTTGACGTTGATATGTAGAAACATCCCTGAAAATTTCAGATGAATCCCTCAAATGGTTTGGCTGAAAACCTGTAGACAAGTCTTGAAAGTGAAGATTTTAGGACGGAAAATCCAAAATGGCCACCTTAAGATTTACCCAGAATGCCCAAAAACTAATCAGTTCTTAACGTTGATATGTAGAAACATCCCTGAAAATTTCAGATGAATCCCTCAAATGGTTTGGCTGGAAACCTGTAAACAAGTCTTGAAAGTGAAGATTTTAGGACGGAAAATCCAAAATGGCCACCTTAAGATTTACCCAGAATGCCCAAAAACTAATCAGTTCTTGACGTTGATATGTAGAAACATCCCTGAAAATTTCAGATGAATCCCTCAAATTGTTTGGCTGGAAACCTGTAGACAAGTCTTGAAAGTGAAGATTTTAGGACGGAAAATCCAAAATGGCCACCTTAAGATTTACCCAGAATGCCCAAAAACTAATCAGTTCTTGACGTTGATATGTAGAAACATCCCTGAAAATTTCAGATGAATCCCTCAAATGGTTTGGCTGGAAACCTGTAGACAAGCTGAAAAGTGAGAATTGATTCGTCAAACAGTTCATATGGAAACGCGTAGACAAGTCTTTACAGACGACATAATGGAATAAAAGACCCACGGTCCTGTGCTCACACACCTTCGGAGGAATGTATATCCTGATTTTCAAACAAAATTATTGATTTTGAACTTTGAGAAACCTAGATAGCACAGTTTGTGACCTAGTTTGAGGACCTTTGACCTTGAACATTTTACTTATTCAGAGCTCATTAGGTCTTTTGTGATTAAGGTGACCAAAATTTACATCCAAAAAGTTGATTTTTCAAATTGATTATTTAGTTACTCAGTACTCAGTTTCTCAAATCAGTCAGATTTGCCTATCAGTTTCAATTAGTCAAATGTTCAGTTAGTCAATTCATTTGACTTTTTGATGTCAAAATCGGCAATTTCGCAGAAACCGGGCAAACTTGAGAAATGGCGATGATAGGTCAAACAGGCATTATGGATATGCATAAAATGAATGTGAATATGACTCAATACGAATAGCAGTTTTAATTTGTGCAGCCAATGATGATTGACTTTATGAGAAAGTTCCCTGAAAATGACAAAATCCTACTTTTTTTGTCAAATTTTATAGAGTAAACACGAAAAACTGTAATTTCAAGAGCTTTGAAATCTTCAGAGAACATAACTTGCATATACAGCAACTACTACAAGTTAATTGAAAGCTCTACTTCAACAAAGTGTATAGTATTTACAGACAATTAGACTTTTTGACGTCAAAATCAGCAATTTCCCGGAAACCGGGCCTATCAGTTTCAATTAGTCAAATGTTCAGTTAGTCAATTCATTTGACTTTTTGATGTCAAAATCGGCAATTTTGCAGAAACCGGGCGAACTTGGGAAATGGCGATGATAGGACAAATAGGCATTATGGATATGCATAAAATGAATGTGGATTTTAATCCGAATAGCAGCTTTAATTTGTGCGGCCAATGTTGACGGACGGATGGACGGACGAACGGACGGACGAACCAACGGATGGACGGATACCTGGTTGATCCAATAGGCTCACTGTGTGAGCCAAAAACACAGAATGGCTGACAATAAAAAGCAGAAATTCAAAATGGCTGCCATGACTGAGCCAACAAGTCTAAAACCTATGTAGAATGAAGTGAGTTAAAGTAACCGTGAAGCAGTTTACAGACAAGGATTTTAGCAAGGTACAATGGTGATATATATCGAAAACACATGGTTAAGCCTGAAAATATGAAGGTGATATCAGTAGCAGTTTTGGTTTTTGAAAATTGTGGGAAGGACGGATGGACGGATGGCTGGAGGCGTTCCCTATATCCCTCCGAACTTCTTTTGATGGGATAATAAAGCTATACATTATGTACTTCAAAAACATCTTGAAATTAACGCAAATTCCTGTTTTCCCAACCCCCCCCAATTCACCACCCCGTGAAAAACACTGAATATATGTGAAATAGAGAGATGTTTTATTATACTAATGCTACCAAAATTTCAAATAATGATATTTATTTATTTGGTTTAAAATGAAAAGCATAAGATTTTTGCAAAAAATGTTCATTTTTTTTTTAAAGTGGCTGTCATCTTGACGGAGGTACGGACAGACGGAGGGCTTCACTATGTCCCTACCGAACTTTGTTCGTTGGGATAATTAGAAATTAACAACTAGGAAAACAGTATGAAAGTCTAAATCCTGCCATGCAACCTTACAATATGTCACCATCCGATTGAAAAACTTTTTTCTTGTGTAGATAGAGGCTAAATAAAATTGACCAAAATATTTTTTAATGCAGATTTCCAAATTGTTGAAATGGAGGAAAATTAATATTTTGGCACCTCCAAAAGAGGTACATTTATACAAGTTTAGTACCAAATTCACCCATAATACTTATATATTTCTAATTAACTATAAATTGTGTATTACTCTAAATAAATTTATGATGATTCAGTCAAGCATATTGAGTGTAGTAATATGGAGGAAAATTTGGAAATTTTCATTTCCATAAAAGAATTTTTCTTTTCAATCCGATGGTATCATATTGATAGGAATAGATTTATCTTTAAAATGATATATTATACATGGCATAGGGTTTAACATATATCATATAATATTCATCTTAAAACTTGTGTACTGTTTTTGGCCCACCCTGTAGTTAGTATCATATAGTTTATTATAAGGTACTACTGTAGTAGTATAGTGTATATGCTTATATTCGTTTTGTCTATGCCTTTAAGTACCTGACCCTAAGGGGTGTGAAAGTACTTAACCAGAACAACGGCAACGCCAAAGCGTAGCGAATCCCATCGAACAGCCATGGATGGCATTTTTACAAACAAAGTATATAGCAAAAATGGCAGCCATTTTTCAAAATGGCCGCCTTCTACCAAAAGTGTCATAAGACCATGTGCCATGCTTATAGTATTCATATACCAAATATGAACAAAATCGCTCCACTACTTTTCAAGTTATAGTAAAAAACGTTAAAATGGCGGCTATTTTTCAAAATGGCCACCTTCTACCAAAAGTGCCATAAGACAGTGTGCCGTGCTTATTGTATTTACAAACCAAATATAAACAAAATCGCTCCACTACTTTTCGAGTTAAAGTAAAATACGTTAAAATGGCGGCCATTTTGAAAAATGACCGCCTTGTACCAAAAGTGTCATTAGACAGTGTCCCATGCTTACAGTATTCACATACCAAATATGAACAAAATCGCTTCACTACTTTTCGAGTTATAGTAAAATACGTTAAAATGGCGGCCATTTTTCAAAATTTTTTTCAAAATGGCCGCCTTCTTTCAAAAGTGTCATAGGACAGTGTGTCATGCTTATAGTATTCACATACCAAATATGAACAAAATCGCTCCACTACTTTTCGAGTTATAGTAAAATATGGTAAAATGGCGGCCATTTTGAAAAATGGCTGCCTTCTACCAAAAGTGTCATTACACAGTGTGCCATGCTTATAGTATTCACATACCAAATATGAACAAAATCGCTTCACTACTTTTCGAATTATAGTAATATACGTTAAAATGGCGGCCATTTTTCAAAATTTTTTCAAAATGGCCGCCTTCTACCAAAAGTGTCATAGGACAGTGTGTCATGCTTATAGTAGTCACATACCAAATATGAACAAAATCGCTCCACTACTTTTCGAATTATAGTAAAATACGTTAAAATGGTGGCCATTTTTCAAAATGGCGGCCATTTTTCAAAATGGCCGCCTTCTACCAAAAGTTTCTTTAGACAGTGTGCAATGTTTATAGTATTCAAATACCAAATATGAACAAAATCGCTCCACTACTTTTTGAGTTACAGCAAAAATCGTAAAATAACGAGTAAAGGCCGCCATTTTTCAAGATGGCTGCCATGTGCTTCTTTAATATCTACATTTCTAGCTTTATTAATGTCCTATATAATTTTTTTACATCTAAAACATATTGCTATTACAGTTTTACATATTGCACCTAAATTACTGTAAATTCGGCACTAAAATGGCCGCCAGTTTGAAATGAGCGGCCATTTTGAAAATCGGCTTTCGAGCAGAACTTCTACCCCCATAGGGTATATGTGTACAAAATATGAACAAAATCGGGCCAACGGTATTTGAGTTATTGCCCGGACGGACGGACGGACGTACGTACGGACGGACGGACGGACGTACGGACGGACGGACGTACGTACGTACGGACGGACGGACGGACGTACGTACGGACGGACGGACGGAGGCGTTCCCTATATCCCTCCGAACTTCGTTCGATGGGATAATAAATAATCATTATGAAATCCTCATCATCTCAGAAAACCTCAAATTGATTGGGTCTGAACAAGCAGAATATTGATAGGGAGTATTAGTACTCTCATGGGCTCTCTTGAAAGCCCATGGTACTATGGATTCCAAGTAGTCAGAAATGGGGTTCTTAAACAGGATCTAATGTGCTAGATTTTTAGAACTTTTGTTAGATCTAAATGGATGGTGTTCAGATGTAACATGAATTATGAATGTCCGAACAGATGAATGAATGAATAGATATATAAAAATGGACAGTGATGGACAGCTTCTCCCTCACAAAATTTAGGGGGAGGGATGATCAAGGGTTCATTTATAAACTAACCTTAGTTTGAGTAGTAAGTGCATTTTGAAGTTTTGACATTTCCACCATCTTAGATGTAAGAAGCAGCTGATTACGGTCTGCTCTTTCCTCAGCCTGTGAGGCCCGTAATTCTGCCTGGCTTACCCGCATTTCCATGTTCTTGGTAGTACTATCATTGTAATGCTGCTACAATGGAAAGTATTGTATATATGAGAATCAATACATAAATAGAAAGTATCGAATTGATGATTTGCGATCACCTAATGGATTCTATCTTGTAGTGACGTCACAATTAGCCCACCCAGCTTTAGATGTTTGATTTTGAGAGATTATCTTCTATATTTCGTGCTTTATTGATTTATTTTTCATAAAAGCGTTAAATTTGACTAGATCGACATTCATGCTAAGCACATACCAAGTCTAAGATGTTACTGACATGATTTAGATAGCGGTTCAGCGGCCCCCGATTTTGACAAAAAACTGGGGGCGCTTTAAAGGCATCGTTGTTTAGTATGAATTTCACCCAAACTTCGCACATATATAGATATACTCATGATCTAGTCAAATTGGCATACCTGGTGAATATCAGACCCATGGTTTTCATAAAAGAATCAATGCATGAATGGTAAGTATTGAATACATGGTAAGTATTGAATATATAGAAAGTATTGTATATATGAGAATCAATACATAAATAGAAAGTATTGAATAAATGAAACTAAGTATTGAATATATAGGAAGTATTGTATATATGAGAATCAATGTATGAATGGAAAGTATTGAATATGGTAAGTATTGTAAGAGACATTGCATACATGGAAAGTACTGAATAAATGGAAAGTATTGTATATTTGAGAATCAATGCATGAATGAAAAGTATTGTATTGAACAAAGCATTGACATGACAAAATGTCAATGAAGGTAAAATCTCAAATCTATTGTCAGATTTGAACTTTTGAGAACTTGTAGATGATTTTGAGAATGATAAAAAATTGGTCAATTTGAAGCAAGTTAAAAAATACCTTTTTGACATTTTTTAAACTTTTTTGCCCTTGAGAAGGTCATTGAAGGTCAAAGGAAAAAATTGAAGTTTAAAATTGAAGTCTGTACAGTATTTGTGTAGATTATTTGAAGTTGTAAGAATTTGTTACAGAAACCAACCACACATGTCTTTTTTGACCTTGAGAGATTATAGCAATTTCACCACTTTTGGTGGTGACATTATAATAATTAATACATATCCATAAAGCAATCTATCAACACGATGAGACATTGTGGCATAGGTCAAAATCTCACTGATGCAAATTCAAACAAGGAATTAACATGACAAAATGTCACCACCTAGTCAGATCTGAGAACTTGTAGGAGCTTTTGAAAAAATAATTAGTCAATTTTAATCAAGTTCAAAAATACCTTTTGGCCTTTTTTGATCTTGGGAAGGTCATTGAAGGTCAAACCTCAAATCTTAAGTCAGATTTGAACTTCTGAGAACTTTGTCAATTGTGTGCCAAAGTGGTAAGAAATATTTTTTATAATTAATTAATACAGTGATATATTTCATATATTAATCCAAATTATTTCAGTCGTCAATGAATATTTTGTATGAGATTTTCCTTCATTAATGTTGAGTTCATATCCTTTACTAAATTTTGAACACAAAAAATCATGTGCTAAAGAGGTAAGAAATATTTTTTATCAATTAATTAATATACATGTAGTGACATCACTCATTAAATGCCAAAATTAAAGATTTTTGTAATATTTTTTTAAAATCTCAACCTGCGATGACAGAGCTATACAAAATTTTATTTGTTAAAGGTTGTATATAACTATCAAGGGCTTGGAAAATAATACAAGAACACAAATGTGTACAAAGTGTCCCCACCAATGGGTGATCCCGTCAAATGGTTATCCTGAATATGAGTAGACAAGACTTTACCGACACAATTTGAGGATGGAAAATCCAAAATGGCCACCTTAACATTTACCCAGAATGTCAAAAAACTAATCAGTTCTAGATTTTCATACTAAGAATCATCCCTGAAAATTTGAAATTGATCTACCAAACGGTTCACCTGAAAACGCATAGACAAGACTTTACAGACAAGATTTTAGGACGGAAAATCCAAAATTGACGGATGGATGGACGGACGGACAGACAGACGGATGGACAGATAGACGGATGCGCCTAGGCCGACAATATGGCCCCACACTATGTGGTGGGGACATAAAAAATGAGCTTTTTGAAGAATATCATCAATTAAATTAATTTTCATCAACTAATCAAAAGTGAAAGTGCTCTAATAATGAAAGTGAAAGTTTTTGACCCTTGTTAGGAACTCCCCAAAACAAATGTCACAATGAATGTCTCTATACCATCCAACACATATTGATGACTTTATACTCATAGCCTGCTCTCATGAAAATCCAATGTAATGTGATGTCATTTCCCTAACACCCTGCGCGCAGAGTCTAGTTAAACTACCCTCTGCCTAGTATAGACAATATTACAGTTTTAGCAGCCCCGCCCCAAAGATTGGGGCCTGTTACTGTGTGACTGTCCAGGTAATAAATCATTTCAAATCTACCACGCTGACCCTATCTCAACCAGTCAGCAAAGTGGAAGGAACACGTGCTAAATACATGTACGTGGTCATTAACTATGCAGTGATGTCAGAGGAAAGGACCATATAGAAAGCTGTCCGTATTTCGACAACGAATTCTGAGCGGCTCGGTGAGTTCAGAAATTTATTGTAAACTAAAAGAGTGGAGACGAAGCTCTCTTTTAAGAAGTGAATTTGAACAAATGCAAACGGTATTTCTTTAACAATGATAGCTTTGGAGGAACCCCCAAACTGTTAGTGGACTCCCCAAATTATTTCACATTTATGTACAAAATTAACTCTAACTTGGGTCCCAGTCGTTTACTTGACAGCAAACAACTGGTCTTTTGGCCATCTTTCATTTACATTCATTTACAAATGTAATTATATCGTATTTACATCTTCAAGACACGAATTCAGTTATACCGAAGGATCAATGTATGTAATGTATTTATCTATCTGATTTCTCTCATTGATCTTTCTAACGTCAAACATTCAGGTAGCACAACACGACGTGTTGCATTCGGGTCGGATAACTGCGATCCAAAGATAGGAGTCCGAGCGCACTATCTTATCCCGTTATCACCGATGCAAGGTTGCCCACGAACGGCATCCTTATCTGATTGTTCGACGGTAAATGATATTCGTACTTGAACATCCAGGTAGTACAGTGCCTCGAGCAGCTACCTTTTTAAATCACCCCGTGGGTAGTACAGCGCCTCGAGCAGCTACCCCTTTTCAAGTCTAAAATTTCTTCCGAAAGCCATTAGTACAGGGAGTACAGTGCCCAGAGCAGCTACCTATCTATGGCATCGCATGATTGGCCGCACACCTCTCATGCTATTTAGAATAACGATTATGAGACATCTAGCATTTACGCCTATATTTCACGATTTACTCTAAAGTATCATTACATATGTTGGTAAAGGCTGTTGTTTTGCGGCAAACGAATGACTGGGTTGTAGCCAAATGTATTTGTTTATTATACATATTGTATATTGTAATAAGGTAACTTGTAGTTAATATATATAATTATATTCTCATATTATTTTGTGTTGTCTTTCATAAAATACGCATTCTTCATATTACAATGAATTCCTCATATTAATACATATATTTGATAATAATACATTGAGCCCTTGCTCAATGTACACTAGAACATGTCTACGAAACAATTATCAAGTCATATTCCATTTGAAATTTTTGCAAGCAAATGGCCTCTAGCTACTAAGAGTAATGTTCAAAATTGATGTTATCAAAACTGGGAAACATGGACATCAAACACTCAATTTTGGAAGCTTACATGAACAATACTGCAAACACCTAAAGCAATTCTAATGATAATTAGAGAGATTTCGCACATAAGTGAAAGTACAACTTATACGTATACGTATAGTTTAAAGGGTCATGTCGAACTATTATATTTACTAAAATCAATTTTAAATTGTACTAATGGAACATAACTATTCCCGATACAGAAAAGCTCCATCAACCAGAGACTGTGAATGCACTGTCATCTGCACGTGTAGATTATGCACATTATAATTAAATGCTTGCTTCCGTGTCCTAGTAGTTGTAGTGTATTCTAAACACGATCCTTTAAAGTGAGTCATGATCCTTTCAAGTGAGTCATTACATAAACAAGTTGATTATTTCAAAGTTTTCATGATCAGTATAAGTTCAATGAACTTACAAAATTGTATATACACGTAGATGATAAACGTATACAGTTGGATCTACGTATAAAGCTTTACCTACATGTGTGTGGAACAATTGATCGCAAGCATTCTCTAAATTAATCGGCTGAGTAGGAACAGTATCCAATCAAATACTTTAACCATCAGTTTGAAACACCAATCAAACCAGTAGGTTCTAGCAATTCCTGGAAACGACCCATTCAGTTAGCTCAACAAATGACATACAGGGTGTTTCATAACAAGCATCTCTAAAAAGTCAATTTGAGAAGAGATGGGTCTATATGTATGTACTATATACAGATATATGAGCCTATTTTATTCTAGACAAACACATTTTGATCAACTAAACATGCTACAATTCAAGAAAGTACAAAAGGCATCCCTTTGACCTTTATTTATTACAGTCCGAGAAGATCTTTCCTGACGAAATACCCACATCATGAAACACCTTGTACGTCTTCTTATAAGTATAAGTATACGTTATAAGTTGTATTTTACGTATGTGAGAAATCTCTCTATTATGTACCTTATAGTTACTTATAGTTATTTTATGACAATATAATTGTTCAAAACATTTTTTTAGTTTACATCTCCCTGGTGGAAAGTATTGAATCTACAGGAAATCATTGAATATATGGAGGAGAGTATTGCATAAATGAAACGTATAAAACAAAGGGTAACTCACTAAGGAATCATTTATAGAGTTACTAGTAGTGACATCTGATGATGACATTTGTTTTAGACTTGTGTTCTCTGTCCTGAGTAGTCTCACCCTGCCTTGTAGGTGGCGTAACAGTTTGATTGTGCTAGAATCGTCTGCCAATGAAGTGGATGGGCTGGAAACTGAGCTACTAGCTGACTGAAAATCCAAATTGTATCAATTATATTTAAGTGTATGTGAAATATACAGGGCGTTCAATAAGTACTGATAAAAGTGCTTTTTTATTTTTTCATATATCTGACTAATCTTTCTAGTGTGCATTGTTGAGTATTATACTGATGTACTGTGAAAGGGTATACACATCTTGATGCTGGTTCAAATTTGATGCTGAATATTATTGATATTCTGTTCAGCAGCCATGTTGTTGATGACATAATTTCTGCTATACAAAAATATAGCAACAATTAAATGATACACATCAAAAATTGTCAAAATGTTTTCTCTTTTGAATAAAGGAAAAGTGTGCTCTCTAAAATGTAATATTTTCTAATATGTTTCGTTTGAATAAAATGTATTGGTGAAAGTATATAATATTGCATAATTGCTCTTAAACCAGTCATCAAAACATTCTGAAAATTTTACACATTGTCAATTTAATGGTAATCTTTTGGATGGTAACATTATAATTTGAAATATATATACTAGAACATGTATATATACTTTTCTCTATATTGTTTTAGAAAACACATCAGACACTTCTTTTGTTCTTGGTATCATATGTTTGGAAAGAAATGAAACATCTACCCGAACCTCATTGAATCAAAACGACATAAACACAACGTGTTTAGGTCTCTCAATATTGTTATTGTACAAAGGAAAGTTTGGTTGATTTTAAAAAAGTATGTTAATGAAATAAAAGGTTATCTTAATTTTTATCTATTTTGGGAGGGGTTTGTTTTAAGTTTTTGCATACTTTTTGTTAAATCAATCAAAATTTCCTTTGTATAACTATAATAAATCAATCAAAATTTCCTTTGTATAACTATAATATTGAGAGGTCTAGAAAATGTTGTATATGCTATTTTGTTCTAACAAAGTTCGGAGAGACATTTGATTTCATTCTCAAGAATCGGTAGAATTAAAGGAACAAAAAACAATTGCATTAAAAAACAATAAATGTTAACAAAAACAGTTATCTAAAATATATATAAATAATTTTTGCATTAAATTGTTGCCAATCAGTCAACATAACATAAAGGATCGTGTTTTTTACAGAATGTTTTCAATAATTGGTTTAAGAGAAAAACATTGTTGAATTCAATTCACCATATCAATACCTATCCTTTGTCATTTCGCAAAATATGTACCTATACATAATGAATTTACATAGTGTTTATGTGAATCTCATTGATCAATTCAAATGTTCTTTTCACCAAGAATAAGAGGTTTTCTCTTCCAAATTCCTTGTTAATACAGTGAATTGGATAATAATATAACTTTATGCCAAGTATCACTACGATTCCCTACCAATAACTATGTCTAAACGAAATAGTATTTACTCCCTTATAAACAACATTTTATAAGTTATGGCTCTGTATAAATGGAAAGATCTGCGTAACAAATGATGACATAATACACATACTTTATATGTTATAAACATAAGGGATTTATAAACATACTATAAGTGTGTTGCAAAATCTCTATTTTTCAACATTATTTCCTTATCCTATGGACATACAGTATATATAAAGTATAGTAAATGTGAACAGTATTTCCCTATTCCATATATACTTTGATATACAGAGTGTATCATTGACCATTCATGCTGCATGAATTTATGCTTGTAGCCTTGACTCATATATGTAATTGCTTAGATTTGTCCCAGGGGTGTATTTAATTTGACTCTGGCCTTGTGGATAGGATGTTTCTCAAAAGACTCTGAGCAAAAAGTATAGGTGCAGTGTTCAAACCCAGCTGTATCATTTAACATTACAACATGTATTGGAGCATACGACAAATGTACATCTCTTCACAAATTGTGTTATTCATGACAATTAAGTGATCAACATATTCAAATATTTTTCACAATATTTGTACTGTACAAATCTGCTTAGAATATATCTTTTAATGAGCCATAACCAACTAAGAAATGTTCCCTGTTGCATCTGTTTCATTCAATTTTGCAGTAAATTTATCATATCCTCCAATACTCCAAAAGAGTGAATATTATACATACGGAAGACAGTCTTAAGACTTCAGACTTGAGTTCATCTATCTCCATTGCCTGGTCTTTGGTCCTTCTGTCCATCTCTCGATCAACTTTCTTACGCTCTTTCAGACGTCTTAAAATGGCAACATACAGTATATAGTGATGTGACTGAAAGTCTATGTGATTTTGTTAGTCATTGTCCCAACCCTACCTGACTATCAAACCAAGGGCTCTACACCAAGGATTAAACAAGGCATTAACATGACAAAATGTTACCACCTAGTTGCTCACAATATTGTGAGTTCAATCTTAAGTCAGATTTGAACTTCTGAGAACTTGTAGATGATTTTAAAAAATCGTAATTGGTCAATTTGAAGCAAGTTGAAAAAAGACCTTTTGACCTTGAGCAGGTCATTAAGGGTCAAATCCTTTTTGACCTTGAGAATGTCATTGAAGGTCAAATCTATAGTCAGATTTGAACTTTTGAGAACTTGTAGATGATTTTGAAAAAAAAATTGGTTAATTTGAAGCAAGTTGAAAAAATATCTTTTTGACCTTGAGAAGGTCATTGATTTTGAAAAAAACTGGTCAATTTGAAGCAAGTGAAATATGAAGTCAGATTTGAACTTTTGAAAAGTTGTAGATGATTTTGAAAATTGAAGTCAGTCTAAACATCTAGTTGTTAATTATTGGAAGTTGTAAGAATTTGTTACAGACACAAACTGCCGATCGCCAACCACTGTCACAAAAAACAGAGACCATAGCAATATGTCACCACTTTTTGATGGTGACATAAAAATGGTTGCCACAATTCGCCAGACTGACAATCAGTTCATAGCCAAATCTAAACCAGTTTCATTATTTTCTGTATCATATTTCTTTACAGACAAGATTTTATGCTGGAAAATCCAAAATGGCCGCCTCATCATTTATCCAGAATGTCCAAAAACTTATCAGTTCTAGACTTCTTTTTACCAAGAAACATACCTAAAATACCAGGACAATTCCTAAAATTGTTAGGCTTGAAACTTGTAGACAAAACCTTACAGACATGATCTTAGGATTGAAAATACAAAATGGCCATCTTAACATTTATTGTACCTAGTTGGCCAAAAACTAAAAAACAGTTCTAGATTTTCATACAAAGAAACATCCCTGAAATTGGAAATCATTTCTTCAACTGGTTTGTCTGAAAACAAAATTAAGTTGGATAGCCACATAGCCATCCGCCAGCTTGGCAAACTAATCACAATATAGCACCCAATGGTGCAATAAAAAGTAATTGCCATTGGCAATCATGAGCCACATAGGGATATTCAGTCCATTTCAATTTTAATTCCTTCAATTGATACATTATATTTATTATTCATCACATAGATTGATAGATTGTTCACAAAATAGATGACCAAGCAAAATAATATTCAAATTGAATGATTTGACCACCTGTGCATTTGATCACCTAATACAAAACAAGACAGTAATGCAACAAAACAAATGGGTAGCATTAATCAATAAATAATAATTCAAATTAATAAATTGTGGAACTAAAACTACATGCAAATTGCTAAATACATTTAACATTGTGTTTAACAGTGATCTCTATTTGATTTACCCTGATAAAATAGTTTCAATAACCAATTTTATGTATGTTATTTTTTGGATATGGGGTATTATCCCATAGTTGAGGTCAAATCTGTAGAATAACACATATATATATTTATGATATTTTGCAAATGCGTGGAAAAAAGTGATATCTGTGGAATACGGAGAATATTCCACAGATATCACTTTTTTCCATGGATTTGAAAACTCCCGCAAATGTGACATGCATTGTTACATGAGCTTACATGGTGATTTCTTGACGTCACAAATATGGAAATGATTTATGTTTTGGCTATATTCAAATGACAAAATAAAACTGAATGTTATTTTGAAATACTTTGTTAGGTCATGAACGTAAACCAACTACGTCCATGGTTAGGTGAACTATGGGATAAATAGAACATCCTATGATTTTTTCGTGATATCATTTTAATCCACTCGTTGATATTAATATCTGCACTCATTCGCAACGTTCACTCGTCCAGATATTGATATCAACTCGTGGATAAAAATGATATCTCTCAAAATCATAGGATATCCTATACTAATCCTGAGTGAAATATAGATATCTTAACAAGGGCCTAGAGTGTTCGAGGTAAGATACCATATTTCTTGAGGTATCACATACTAATTTTATCCTATGACAAGTGAGGTTTCACAAGTGAGGTTTCCAAGACACCCATATGCAAGTATTTTTTTTAAAGTGTTCTCATAATCATTATTTTCAAAACATCTATCAACGTTTTGGTCAAAATAAACTACTGTTTGCTGTCTGAAACCCCACATGTCATAGGATAAACACAAGTACATGTATTGATTTAGGAAATAGATTAAGAACACAAAATATTTTAATGATAAGCTAGCAACAAGGCATTAACATGCAAAATGTCACCACCTGCCATTTGTTACAGATGCCAAACATTGAACACCGACCAGCCACTGAACACCAACTGCCAAACACCAGCTGTTGAAAACTATCAACAAAAAAGTTGAGACTACAAAAATGTCAGCACTTTTGTTGGTGACATAAAAACAGACATAATAGAATTACATGACAATCAAAACCTCTAAATCAACAGTTTCAATTCTATCTCACCCTGTACAGCCGTTATATTGTTAAGGAATTTCAAAACTTTTAAGATTGTGTTGCTTCTCTTATTTGGGGATAGAGACATGAGACATTCTTCACAAGCATTGAAAAATATGTGTCAAATATTATTTTTGAAAATCTAAAAATAATACTACATCAAATTAAAACTTTCTACAACAAAATCCAATTGCCTTTACATTGTATTTGTGCAAGATGAAAAATTCTTGAAATAATTCCTATACATCAACACAATTTTTAAACAACTACTCAACAGGATGTAGACATTTGATTTACTTTTGCAATTCCCTGTTCAATTCTTCTTCAAACTTCCTGGCAAGACGTTCAGCAGTTTCTTCCTTCCAAGATGCCATATTGTCTTGGATGTCACGAAGTTCTTTATCCCGCTCCTGGAGTTTTTTTTCAAGATTTTTGTCATTTGTTTGTAACTTGTGAAAAGTTGTTAGTTCTTCTGTGTGCTCCTATGTACAGATTGAAAGGTTAGTAAGAGAGTAATTAAGGGGTTGAGTGAGGGCTGTGCGTAAATGGGGATAGTGTGGGTCTACAAGTTGTATATTATTTTTTCTTTGTCATAATGCCATTCCTCAATCATGTCCATGCTTTTTTCAGAATGAAATTTTCTAGTGGATTAAAGTAAAAACTACATAAAAACTACTAAATATGTACTATTCTCATCTATATTCTAAACTGAAAGAGAAAATTTAGTAATGTTAGGTAGAAATCACAATTGCATCCAAGACAGATTTTCCCATTTAATGGTCTAAGTTATGGAAGTCACTTATAAGTTAGTTGTATCATGGAAATAGAATTATACCCAGTAATGGCCTCTTCAATGTAATTACTCTGCTAAATAAGTACATATTATGTAGCCAAATTATGTTCCCTTCCAAAAGCAACTTTACCTTTCACAAAATGTCTTCCATGTCTTATCATTTGAAGGAAAATTCTGACCATAGTAAATGGGTTGACCAGTGATGCTTTGTCCAAATGAACTTATTGTAAACTGTTAAAGTAAGGAAGGGCATTTGTACTGAAAGGAGCGTTTTCAGTATATTTTTAGTATAAAATTCAGTACAAATAATGTACTGAAAAATATACTGACTTTTTACGGACATTTTTAAGTACAAAAATGTACTGAAAAATAGACTTTTAAGAGCAATTCTAAGTCTAAAAATGTACTGAAAATATACTGACTTTTTCATTTGAAAACTAAGCATAAATAAAATACTGAAAATTCACCTAATATAGGATATTATGAGGAGATTATGACACCTGCCTGGGTACACCAGAGGCCTCATTATCATCTGGTCGCAAATAGTTGCGTTGCGTCTGCGATGCGATTGCGATCGCAATTCGTAACGCATGCGATGCGTGATATTATCAATTGAGTGCAATCGCAGACGCAAAGCAATCGCAAAACAATTAAAACGTAAGTTGCGATCGCAAGTCTAGAGTGTATTTTGGCGCGAAATTTAAAAGGACAATGGCGCTAGTTTTTGACATTGATTGATTGAAATTGATAGAAATCCAATAATTGATATGATTTGATTGGTTGCGCATGCATTACACTTGTGCAAGACATAAGTGCGCCAAAATGCAAATCGATTTACATTGAACAGACGGTAGTCGAAGAAACACATGTCGAGGGCAAGGAATTGGACAAATGATGAACAAGAATTATTAGTATCTCTCATTGAGAAGGATGCAAATATTCTTTTAGCACCACTTAGCTGTCAAATAACAATACAGTCACAGGATAGTTGCTGGGCAAGGGTAGCTGAAAAAATAAGTTCACTTGGTGTGGAAATGAGAACTAGAAAAAACGTTATGTAAGTCACACATCACTGAAAATAAATAACTGTTATAACGGGAAGTTGTCATGTTACTGAAACTAACTGAAATAAAATAAACATTTGGTCGTTGTTGTATGTGTTCTACAATGCTTCTATCTAAAATTCGTCAACATAATTTTTCAACAGACAATGAAACGATAACAGCTAATGAGTTTTCTATTTGGTGGTGTATATTTTACATTTTATACACATGCAAGAAAATTGCAAGTTGTGGGTTCCATATCGATATATGTTTAAATATGTCTCCAGTGTATTGCATTTATTTTCCTTTGGAACAAAATATGAAACACGTCTTTTGCATTGTGATCAAAGCAAATCATGTTTGAATCAGGGTCGGGATGAAAATGTGAAAATCTACAATTTTGAGACGAACTCTCATTTCAAATTGAAAATCTAACTCTTTCCGACGAGTCAACTTCAATGCGATGGGTGATGCTTGAACAACAGATACAGAGTACATGTCTATGTAAAAAATGCTTTTTCATTTTTAAACTATTAAATTTAACAACTTAGTAATTTGCAGTGATATGCATTTATTCTATTATGTCGAATTAACAACGTTTCTATTCATATTCAAACTCGATCAAATAAAATGTCTTTAATATTTAATCTATATCTGGGAACATGATAGAGATCATTCAGAAAAACGAGCACCTCAAATAAAAGATACCACAGGAGTTCAACCCCGGGATGAACATGATTGTTCCTATTCTTTGGTGTCAGTTCGTCTTCAAAAAGGTTTATAACCTCTATTAACAATGCTCTCGGCATTCTGTATCTCTGGAGCATCTCGATGTCATTTAGTGAATCGAGTGGGTTAAACCTATCTCGAAATACTCTTCAGCCAATACGATTGTGGTGATCCAGAATGAAATGAAACATCTTGGTGTTCTTGTACTTTTGCAGAGGATGTAGGTGAGGTACATATACACTAGGAATACTCAGAACATTAGTGTAGTAGTGGCAAGATTAATTCACCAAACAAGCTTTATTAGCTAGATAAATATTTAATTGGCGAGAATCCTATGCTCCAAAGAGCACGAAATATTGCAGGCACCAATCTAAGACGTATACAGTATGTGATGCGTTCGCAATATTTAGAAACAAACGTGATTTTTAAGGATTTACAGGCTCAATTAAATGTATATTTTAATCATATTAAATAAATAAAATTGAACAATTTCTTCGATACTATTGATTAATACTTAACAGGTAGTGAAATGATCGATATAAAACACCACAAAATATCCATTAACATAGATAAAATAACGCTCAAAGATGAACTAGATTTGCGATTTGATTTGCGACAGAGTAAACGTCGTCGCAACTTTTTGTTTAGTTGCGATCAGAAAATCGATAACTTTGCGTCAGACTTGCGATGCGATGGAATGATAATAACATTTTTGGGAAATAGTTGCGTTGCGATGTCTTGCGATGCGATTCGCATGCGATTTTGCGTTGCGACCAGATGATAATGAGGCCTCAGGTCATTTTAATAAGTTGAATAAACACTAAAGGATTAAAAACAGGATGTGTATGTATAGAGAACAAAACAAATGTCTGAAGTCATCAAGCTTAATTGGTTTACTATATGATCATCTTCTACTTTGCATTGATACATCCATGCTTACTTGATTCCTTGCACAAACAAAATGAAAATATGATGTGAACACAATTGCAATCATCACTCATCTCATAGACTTTTTGATTATGATTGATCATAATTATAATTTTGCTCTTTGATCAATTTATTTTCATACAGTTGAAATATTTCCAGAAGGGCTTAGACAACAATTGGATTACATCTATATCATATGAAAACAAGAACTTCCTGATATTTCCTTGAGACCAACAATTCCTCAATTCTAAAGTTCCCTGATCGAGATGTCTAGAAGTACACACACCTTGATTGCAAATAGAAGAGCCCTTCCCCTATAAATTGTGGTGTATCAAGTAACTGTTCAAATACAAATGAACATTTGTCAATAAAAGTGATTCTCCTGAATCTTATATCATAAACCTGGATCTCTAAAGCGGTATATTTTTTAGATTATTATTTATTTATACTTAATTATGTCTTAAAAATCAGTATATTTTTCAGTACATTTTAGTACTCAAAAATGCCCTTAAAAGTCAGCATATTTTTCAGTATATTGAAAATGCTCCTTTCAGTATAAATGCCCTCCCTTAGTGCATCCATTTCTTATTGATCATCCCTTGAAATAAGATCCAAAAGTGCTTATGATGCATGTGGTATATTAGGTTATTTTAACTGTATACCTTTCCCTTTCACTTTGAATGCAAATCAATTTTGTCCAAAAGGAGTGGTATTGATATGGAGAACTGAATTCAACAATGTTTTTCTCTTAAACCAATCATTGAAAACATTCTGTAAAACACAGTATTTTATGTAATGTTGACTGATTGACAACAATTTAATGTGAAAATTATATAGAAATATTTTATATAACTTTTTGTTAACATTTTTTGTTTTTTAGTGCAATTGTTTTCACTCCTTTCTACCAATTCTTGAGAATGAAATAAAATGCCTTTCCGAACCTTGTTGGAACAAAATAGCATATACAATTTTTTTTTCTTTTTTTAGACCTCTCAATATTATAGTTATACAAAGGAATTTTTGGTTGATTTTAAAAAAGTATTCAAAAATTAAAACAAAATCCCCCCAAAATAGATAAAAATCAAGATAAACATTTTATTTCATTAACAAGATACTTTTTTAAAATTAACCAAAATTTTCTTTGTACAATTACAATATTGAGAGACCTAAACATGTTGTGTTTATGTCGTTTTGTTCGAATGAGGTTCGGAAAGATGTTTCATTTCACTCTGGAAACATGATACCAAGAAGAAAACAAGTGTTTGATGTGTTTTCTAAAACAATGTAGATGAAAGTATATATATACTTTTCAAATTATATTGTTACCATTCAAAAGATGACCATTAAATTGACGATGTGTCAAATTTTAAGATTTTTTTATGACTGGTTTAAGGGAAACGTGTGTTCAAAAAGTTCTCAATATCGATACCGCTCCTTTGAAATTAGTTTTGAATATCAATTGTTTCTAATATCAATAGTTCACATTAGAAAGTTTGGGTATGGCTCCTTCAAATAATTGACAAAAATGTCACTCATCGTGTTATATTGCATATACAGCTGTACAGTAGAACTAATACCACTAAACTTATCTTTTTAAATATCAATATCCAATATGTTTGACCGGCAATGCCTACAAAAATTGTAATTTGCATATCAAAGTGCATGTAGGGAAGATACATAGATTGTATGCTATGTTATATTGTGACTAGTGTGAACTAAGACAAATCCTTACATTTCTTGCTTCACTACATTATAGAGTTCATTCAAATCACTTGCATGTTCCTAAGGTGAATCACAAGGTAACATTTAAATAGAATAAAAATTAAACCCTGAAAGATGAGAAATTAACATTTTTATTGATCAACATTGGGATACAACTTTGTCTTTGAAGCTGGGACACATTTTTCAAAACATTCCAATACTTTACAATGAAATCAACAATTAAAGAAATAATGGAAATAATGATTCCTCTGATAATGCCTTATAAGCTTTATCAATTCAGATTGTATGAGTGTTGCAAGTACATGTAAATGTATAGCATCACCAGAAGGGAAACTAGGAAACAATTATTTGTTAATAAAAATGGTTTATGTAATTAAAGCAGGGATAACATTAAGAATGCAGTTTAAAGACAGCTGGAGAATAATCAGAAAATATCAGTAAAATCGGAAATTGAACAGAGAACAGAATTCAATTTAAGACCAGATTGAAGCTGGGTAATAGAGGTGTCACACGTCAGATATTTTTCAGGTTGGGATGGGCCAGAAAAAAAGGTGTGCATGTCAGGTAATTTCGGGTCAGAAGAAAACAGAACTAGAAAAACAGCAACTCCACTGAGTAGCAAATCCCACCGAATAAAACATATTTTGAAATTTAGTGGCCATCTTGAAAATTAATTCTTGAACAGAGCATATGAGCATACAGTATAAACCAAATTGAGCCAAATCTATCCACTGGTATTTGAGTTATTAAATATTAAGTTTTTTTGAAAAAATGGCGGCCATTTTGAAATTCAGCTGCCAAAATTCTTTGTCCCTAGGCATCAGCATATACAATTTGAACCAAAACCGCTCACTTATATTTGAGTTATCAAATATTACATTTTTGTAAAAATGGTAGCCATTTTGAATTAAGCAGCCATATTATTCTCAAGCAGAGGTCCTACACCCATAAGGCATAATCCTATAAAATTTGAATCAAATCCGTCAACCAGTATTTGAGTAATCGTCCGCACAAACAAACAGATGGACTGGTTTTCTATATTCCTACGAACTTCGTTCGGTGGGATAAAAATGAATTTGACTTAATTGTCAAACCGTCTAAGTGAATACACAGCACGTTGTAAGCCTGTTTAAGCCTGCATTACTGCATATTATGCTTGGAAATAAATGGAGTAAAGACAGCCATGGATCTTACTTACGTATTTAAGATAAAAAACATCATTCAAATTTTTAGAAGTTGAATTACGCGATTTGATAGTAAATTTTGCATTAAGTACTCATTATTTTGCAAACATGAGTGCCTGGAACAACAACTTTATCGGTTACAAACAATTCTGTGTTTTATCTATTTCTCATATTGAGAAATTCAATATATAAACAGGAGTTTATTAACTTCTCCCCTACATTTTCAGACATCTTCAGGTCTTTGCTCGGCGGTAGGTTGTACATAGGCGGGTAGACTATTCCCCCGTGTACATGATTTTTATAAAAAAATTGGTCAAATTGAAGCAAGTTGAAAAATGACATATTTTACAATTTTCCGATGTCCAATATCTCAAAAACTGTAAAAATGTAATGCTGACATATAGTGAACAATTTGTAGAGAATGCTTAAATCTAGTGCCAATATAATTCATCGCATGAAATAATGAAGAATAAGAACAAACTTTGAAAAACTTGAAAAACAATTCTGACCTAGTTCTGGTTTTGACCTGATTTGACCTAGTTCTTGACCTTTGACCTTGATAAAAATTTGGCCTAATTTCCCATGATCCCAGGTTGGAGGTTGGTTGTTATGTTAGTTTGGTTGGAGGAAGAAAGAAGAAGATGAAGAAGAAGAAGAATGGTAAATTGACCAGAGTTCAATTTAAGACTCCAGATTGAAGCTGAGTATGTAGCTGAGTAGGTAGTTGAGTAGATACTGTAGCTGAATGAGTACCTGAGTAGGTACCTGAGTAGGTAGCAGACTTAACTCATGATTTATCATGAGGAAATCATAATATCTAAACTGGAAGTTGGATTTCAATTTTGATTGCAGATTCGGAATCCTGAGAAAATTTCCTATTATTTGACATCTAAAATGTTGAATTTGACCTACTCTATGGATACCATATCTCAAAACTGGGTCAACATACCTTCTGATGGCCAAAGGCTAACATTATTAGCATACCCTTGGCTATCTCTATGCTAAATTTCAAAGAAAACTATTTAAGTGTAGTGTCAGTATTAAAAAAATAAGTAAAACATAGATTTGACCTAGATTTTGATCTTGGCAAATGAATGTCCAAATTTTGAGTTAAGTAAGCTTAAGAGGTCCTCTTCCGTTGTACGATATCAGTAATTTTGTTTGAATCCCATCTGTATCTGGTATTTTTCAATTTATATGTTTTCTTCAGCTCCATTGACTTAACATGGGGATATCATCATATCGATTTTTCGAGATTTCAAAATGCCACAGAATCTAAACCGGAAGTCAAACTTGGAATTTGGAGACAGTAGACGCATACTCTTGGCTGTCTCTAGGCTAAATTTCAAAAGAAAATATTGGAATGTACAGTGCTGATATATAATAATATAGGGTGCGTTTTCAAACTAAACAGAGTGTTCCTACTAAAATGAATTTGCCTACATACCCCTGAAACTCTTATCTGATAGATAGAATGCACAAATAAAACAAAAGTTTTGCTATTATAGGTAAAAAGTTCTCTTGAAATTTCGAAGTGATTTTACCTGTTAATTCTGTCCATGGTCCGCCATTTTTGCGGAAGTTACACTGAAACGCAAACTCCATGAAACGAAACGAAATCACTAGAAAAAAACATGGCACACATTGTGCGCATGTGCAGCAAAGTTTAGACCAATTAGATTATTTGATTATTTTGCGCACGTGAATTATTTGCTTCTGAGCACTTACAAGCTTACCACAATAAACAAACCTGGCAGAGACTACCCTTAGCCTACTTCATTTTGGCGAAATTTCAGCTCAAACTCGTGACAAATGCATTATGCATACGCTGGTGTGAAGCCTTGGAGACACTCATTTTGGTAAATATGATTTATGGGGTATACTTTTCTGCAGTTTGTGGGAGTTTGGGACATTAAATGTTAAAATTCAAGAAAATATGCCAATTAAACGACTGATCAATTAATATATATCAGCACTGTAGTGTCAGGCTTGCAAAAATAAGGAAAAACATAGATTTGACCTAGCTTTTGACCTTGGCTACTGAGTGTCCAGATTTTGAATGTAGGCAGTAATTTTACCTGGATCCAATCTGTATATGGTATTTTTCAATTCATATTTTTCCACGTCTCCGTTGATTTAACATGTGATTAGTTATAAAGATTTTTCGAGAATTCAAAATGTAAAGTTCCTTATCCGGAAGTTAAATTTCAATTCTGATTTCAGATTTGGAATTCTGAGACTTTGTAGATGGTTTAAAAACAAGTTGAAAAATTAGCTATTTTACACTTTTTATGTCAAAGATCTCAAAAACAGTAAGAATAATCAAACAAGGCATTAACATGTCAAAATGTCACCACCTAGTTGCTCACAATATTATCAGTTCATCATCTTAAGTCAGATTTGAATTTCTGAGAACATGTAGTTGATTTTGAAAAAAGTCAATTTGAAGCAAGTTGACAAAATACCTTTTTGACCCTGAGAAGGTCATTGAAGGTCAAATCTTTTTTGACCTTGAGAATGTCATTGAAGGTTGAATCTTTAGTCAGATTTGTACTTTTGAGAACTTGTAGATGATTTTGAAAAAAATTCGTCAATTTGAAGCAAGTTGAAAAAAGACCTTTTTGACCTTTCATTGACCTTGAGAAGGTCATTAAAGGCCAAATCTTAAATCTAAAGTCAGATTTGTACTTCTGATAACTTGCAGATGATTTTGAAAAAATATTGGGTCAATTTGGAGCAAGTTGAAAAAAGACCATTTTGACCTTTTTTGACCTTGAAAAAGTCATTGAAGGTCAAATCTTGAATGTAAAGTCAGATTTGAACTTCTGAAAACTTGTAGATGATTTGGAAAAAATTGAGGTCAGTCTAAACAGTAATTGTTTTGAAAATTTGCTACAGACGCCAAATGCCACCCGCCGATCGCCAACCACAAACTGCCAACCCCAAACCACCAACCGCCGCCACAAAAAATGGAGACCATAACAATATGTCACCACTTCTTGGTGGAGACACAAGAATGATTTGCTTTTCAGAATTACCATTCTTTACAAGGAACAAGATGAAGAAAGACCGAGAAAAAATTCTGAAGGACGACTGAGGAAAATGGTAAAATAGTGATAACACAAGATTTGACCTAGTTCTTGACCTTTGACCTAGATAAAAAGTTGACCTTATTTCGCATCATCCCAGACACATTTCCTTGTTGACAATATAAATAGCTTAAAGTAAGCTCTTCTTATTGCTGAGAAAAGAGGGGGAAAAGAAGAAAGAAAGAATAAAGAAAACAGGCAAAAGTAATAGACTTCTGATTTGCAATACTCCTGGCTTATAATATGGGATACTCGTAAAATAAGAACTCACTTTAAATTAAATACATTTATGAGTTTTTACAAGTTCTTAACTAGAAAACAGCAACTCCACGGAGTAGCAGATCCCACCAAACAAAACGTGTTTTGATAAATAGCAGCCATCTTTTCTTGAGTAGAGTTCCCTTATTCCTAGGTATTAGCATATAAATCTTGAATCAAATCCATTCACTGGTATTAGAGTTATTAAAGACTAAATTATTTTGATGAAAAATGGCAGCCATTTTGAAATTTTGGAATTTCATTCTTTAGCACAGTTCCTTTATCCCTATGCATCAGCATATAGAATTTGAACCAAATCTGTCCACTGGTATTTGAGTTATCAGATTACATTTTTAACAAAAATGGTGGCCATTTCCAATTAAGTTGTCATCTTAAAAATGTCTTCTCAACCAAAACTCCTTTATCACTAGGCATCAGCATATAAAATTTTGAACCATATCCTTCAACTGGTATTTTAGTTACGAAAGATTTCTGAAACTGAAACATTTCTTTTTAATAGGATGCACTTAGGAACAAAAGATCAATGCACTTTTGTTTGGTGATAATTTAGTAAATAACAAAATACTAAAGGTTGTCTATTTAAAATTTTCAATGGAAATCATTTGAATTATTAACTGGACATATTATAAACACTTATTGACTTTTTTCAACCAAAAGCCATCTGTAATAATTTGTATGTTAATTCTACAGGGCCAATAATGCCTTTGCTTATGGCCTAGTCACATAGCCCGGCCGATGTCCGGCATCGGTAGAGCTCGGTGGATTTTTTTGGTGCCACCGAGCTCTCCTCATCGGAAGCAGAGCTCGGTGACGTGAACGGACTCCGTCCGGCATCTTCAGGTACTATACTTTCCAAGGCTCTGTCCCACATCGGCCGGAGCTCGGTCGGAGCTCGGCCGGTGTCCGTTAAAAAAACCTCGTCCTCTGGTTGTCTCAGATGCACGGGACACCGACCGATACTCGGCCGTGCACCGGCCGACGTGTGTTCTGATGTGGTTACGATAGGGCTGCGATGAGGGAGCTCGGTGAGAGCCCGGTGAAATTTAACTCCGAAGTTAAAATTTCACCGAGCTGCCACCGATGCGGTTTTAAGCAACAAACGCCACGGATGTCCGGCCGGTGTTCGGCCGAGTTCAGTGAAAATTGCATCGCTGGCTCATCGGAACCTCATCGGCCGGGCTATGTGACTAGGCCATTAGGCCCTGTCAATGTATTATACAGGGTGTCCCGAAAGTATGGGGCCCCCCTAGGAAGATGTATTCCAGTGCCATCATAGTATGTGTCATATATCATTTTAAAGCTTATCCAAAGTTACATTGATTTGCCAAGTATCATGGTTTAACTCTCAAATGGGAAAAAGTTACAGTCATTTTAAAAGTTAGTGTTTTGTCAAAATAAAGTTGAATTTTACACCACATTACTAGTCAATGAGTCCCCCTTGGCCATGTTAACAGCAGCAATTATTTTCAGATATGACCTTAAAAGCCCTTCAAATAGGGGTGTGGAATTTTATAACCCTCTTAAAACCTGTTAAGGCACTTTAGAAGAGTTTCCTTAGAGTTTCTACCCTCACCGTTCTCTTTTTCCAACTCGTAATCCATCCGACCTGAAAAGAATTGCTGCTGTTAAGATGGCTCGGGAGGACACATTGACTATTGATTTGGTGTAAAATTGAACTTAATTTTGACCAAACACTAAATTTTGAAATGCCTGTAATTTTTACGCATTTGAGAGTTGAACCATGATACTTGGCGAATCAATGTAACTTTGGATAAGCTTTAAAATGATATATGACACATACTATGACGACACTGGTATATGTCTGCCTAGGGGGGGGGGGCATACTTTCGGGACACCCTGTATATATATATGTTCTCCGAAAAGTGAACCATAAAAACTAAGTTAAAAAGGGCATCAGTACAAATAAATCCTATAAAATTATATTATCAACTCAAACTAAGTTACGAAAGATAACGTCTTTTTATGAAAAATGACAGCCATTTTGAAATTCAACTTTTATCTTGAAAATTTATTCCCTCGATAAAATTTAAAATATTTTTTTTTCAAAAAATGGTGGCCATTTTGAAATATGGTAGCCATCTTGAAAATGTCTTTGATCAGAACTCCTTTTTCTCAAGGCATCAAAATGCAAAATTTGAACCAAATCCGTCCAGGGGTATTTGAGTTATCATTGATTATGTTTTACATGAAAAATGGATGCCATTTTGAAATTCAGCAGCCATCTTGAAAATCTCATCTCCAGCAAAACTCTTTTGCCTTTAGGCATCAACATTTGAGCCAAATTGAGCGGCCATATTGAAAATTCCTTCTTGAGCAGAGGTCTTATAAGGCATAGGCCTATAAAATTTGAACCAAATCCGTCTACTGGTATTGGAGTTATCGCACTGAAACACGAACGGATGGGCAGAGGTCTTTCCTATATCCCTCACAAACTTTGTTTGTTGGGATAAAAAATTAATCATAAAATACATAGATAATTATTATGCAGTCATGTTACCTGTACAAGTCTTTGTTTCAACTCTTCCATGTCTCGCATCTTTGCTTCTTGCCATTTTTCCTTCATTGCATCAATGTCTAAGCCCTGTAATCCAGTAGGGAGAGTCAATAAGTTATTTCTTTTGTGCAGAATGCTCATTATATGAGGGTCATTTATATATTAACATTCGCTTTGTGTATTCGAAATGGCATTAAATAACATATTTTTGCATCTAATTTAAAAACAAAAACCTGGAGTGTTATTGCCAATCACAGTTAATGTCAAATATGTCAAAACCATAAAACTAAGTACAATCACTAACTACACCATTCCTCATATACTGTATATGGAATATTTTCCAATTTACCATGAATTTCCTTGAAATTCTAATGAATGGAGATTTGTTTTGAAATTTCTTTGCAATCTGGCTTTTGTAATTAATAAATTTGAGAATAATCATTTTTATTCTTTCATATGGTTAAAAATAATGTATTTGTTATTAAGAAAGTGTACTGATTTTTGAGAAGTACCCAATATTCCATATATACACATATGAGCAACAGTGTATCGGGTGTCCCAAAAAAGTGAATCACTTTTATGTATTTTCTCAACAATTGATAACTAAAGTTTATTGAAAATTTCCATAAAGTAGCCTTAGGGTATCATTAGCAAGTTGTACAGATATGAAAGAGATTATATTATATGAGAATTGCCAAATTCAAAAATGCATGCAAAAATCCAATATTGAGCTACTGAACGAGACCTTCATAGCGTTTGTGCCCGTTATCAGGTGATGGCATCTGTCAATCAGTTTTAGTTTAAAACAAGCTTGTCTGTGTGTCAGGTTTATTGATTTGTTTCATTGTTTTCTGTTTCCAAAATATGTTTTGTCCAAAATTTCAGTTTCACACTGGAATAGCCTGACTACTGTAAAGTCAGATACCGTTGTCACAAATGGCAGACATAACCGTCGCTTCAACTGTTTAATCACTTGGTCCTCATTTCATGGGATTTTATCGTCGCTAATTTTGTGTATGCATTAAGCTATTGTGATAATGCATCATATAAAATCCCATTTTCGATCAAATTGGGTCGTGAATCGCCACAATATAGCGTCTTCGATATTGTCAATGACAACGGAATCTGAATTTGAGTAATTTAGAAAGACAACAGCATATGGTAATTACAGTGTCTGTTTTGACACTTTTATTGATTGTTGTTCCAAAGGAATTTGGTCTAGGTGCTCTATTAAACATACAGTTCATGTCTGCCATTTGTGACAACGGTATCTGACTTAACCATTGTCAGGCTATTCCGGGGTGAGTTTGGAGGAATAACAAATGCTTTTATGTGATAAGCGATTAAGCAATTTTTATGAAAACTGTTTCAAAGTGAAAGGGTTTGGGGGAAGATGAATTCTTTAAAGGAATGAATCCTTTAAAGGAATTAAGGGCAATATAGTTAGTCATGTTACTGTAAATAGACTTGTGAACAAAAATATATTTACTTCCAACATACATTAAAGGATGGAATAATTATTATTACCGTATTCTCTGTAATAACCGCCCACTCTCTAATAAGCGCCCACCCCGCTTCACAAAGTTCAAGAAACATCGAGGAATCAACAAGAATTGAAGAATATATCAGGAAAAAAATATTTCTCAAAATCCAGGAGCGGGCGATAATAGAGTACTTACCCTAAAACTGCTGTAAACACGACGCGTTTTGTAATTCTATGCATCCTCTCGATACATATCTATCGATGGGTGCTTCCCACACCATACCATGCTAATATTGTCTCCAAATAGTCCATAATGAATGGATTGTTCTTTATCGGCATTCAGAAATTTCAAAAGCTACTGCGCAGATGTTCTGCGCATGTCAAGGTCGTGAACTTTCTGGTTTCTTTTTAATGTTTCTCGACTTTTACACGACTTTTGCATGAATAATGATGATCTCTCATCAAATTAGAAATAATGTATAACTTTAGATCGATATCCAGCAGTCTCTAGTGGAAATATTGAAGGTAATCGGCGATAATGACAAAGTGGGCGTGCCGGAAATAAATTAGACATAGACGGGTCTTCAACCACTGTCAATATTGTCTAAGCGATCTTTACCGTATTCTCTCCAATAACAGCACTTGTCATATTATTATAAAAATATGTTGAAGAAAATGCATTCTTGTCAAGAAAAATTGCCATACATGAAATTCCTCGGGATTTCTGATTTCTTTCATACATGGGCGCTTATTAGAATGGTCTAAATAATGTATTTTCAATTTTCTAAACGCCCTGGGCGCTAATTACAGAGAATACGGTATGTAGTAGGCGATATTGATGGAAAAACAAGTATTACTGGTTGAAAAAACAGCTTCTTTCAGACTGAAATTAGTGACTTTTCCATGGATTTTCAATATTTTTGCATGGTGTTTTTAATTTGAAAATACTCAAATAATATGAAACAAATCTCTTTCATATCTATAGAACTTACTAATGATAACCTAGAGTTCCTTAATAAAAATAGTAAGAGAATTCAGCTTATCTATGTCTGAGAAAATACTTGTCAAAAAGAGGTTCACTTTTTTGGGACACTCGATATATTAGTCAAGATCAGCACAACATCTGATTTCTGATTTAGACACTAGGGATTTTAAAAAGGCCAAATCAAGCCACAAATCTTACCTTATCTTTGGTGCCATGTTGAACTGCATGTTTCAATGCATCTATCTCATCTCTCAGCTCAGTTACAAATTTACGCAGTTCTTGACTAGTGGCTTTAACATTAATCTAAAAACAAATCAAGAAATATTAGGTTTTAGTGAGAATGTATGGAAATAAAGGATAGGTATTGATATGGTGAACTGAATTCAACAATGTTTTTCTCTTAAACCAATTATTGAAAACATTCTGTAAAAAACACGGTCCTTTATGTAATGTTGACTGACTGACAACAATTTAATGCAAAAATTATTTATATATATTTTATATCAACTGTTTTTGTTAACATTTTTCGTTTTTAGTACAATTGTCTTTTGTTCCTTTCTACCCATTCTCGAGAATGAAATAGACCTCTCAATATTATATAGTTATACAAAGGAAATTTTGGTTGATTTAACAAAAAGTATTCAAAAGATTAAAACAAAACCACCTAAAATAGATAAAAATTAACATAAACCTTTTATTTCATTAATAAGATACTCTTTTAAAATCAACCAAACTTTCCTTTGTACAACTACAATATTGAGAGACCTAAACACGTAGTGTTTATGTCATTTTGTTCCAATGAGGTTCTGATAGATGTTTCATTTCATTCAAGCATATGATACCAAGAACAAATAAAAAAGTGTCTGATGTGTTTTCTGAAACAATATAGAGAAAAATTGATATATTTTTTTCAAATTATAATGTTACCATTCAAATAAAGGACCCACGGTCCTGTGCTCACACAGTTTGGAACCTTCAGAGGAATGTATATCCCGACTTTCAAACAAAAATATTGATTTGGATTAGTCTCAAGCTTTGAGAAACTTAGATACACACAGTTGTGTGACCTAGTTTGATGACCTTGACCTTGAAAATTTTACTTATTCAGAGCTCAGTAAGGTCTTTGTGATTAAGCTGACCAAAATATACATCCAAAAATCAATTTGAAAAATCAACTAATCAACATACATTGAGCAATATGTAGGGAATGCTTAAATCTAGTGATGATGTAATTCATTACAAGAAATGATCAAGTATAAGGCAAACTTTGAGAAACTTGTCAATCACAAAACCTGCCATTGACTTTATACATGAGAAAGTTTCCTGAAAATGACTAAGTCCTACTTTTTGTCAGATTTTATAGAGTAAACACCAAAAATTGAAATTCCAAGAGCTTTGAAATCTTCAGAGGACATAAGTTGCATATACAGCAACTACTACAAGTTATTTGAAAGTTCTACTTCAACAAAGTGTCTAGCATTTACAGAAAATTTGACTTTTTGACGTCAAAATCAGCAATTTCTCTGAACCGGGCAAACTTGGGAAATGGCGATGATAGGTCAAATAGGCATTATGGATATGCATAAAATGAATGTGGATATGACTCAATCCGAATAGCAGTTTTAATTTGTGCGTCCAATGTTGACGGACGGACGGACCAACGGACGGACCAACGGATGGACCAACGGATGGATGCCTGGTCGATCCCATAGGCTCACTGTGTGAGCCAAAAACGACCATTAAATTGACGATGTGTAAAATTTTCAGAATTTTTTGATGACTGGTTTAAGAGAAATGTGTGTTCAAAAAGTTCACCATATCGATACCAATCCTTTCAAAAATAAAATTTTCCTGAGAACAAAAATATAAGAACTTTGTTTTTATTATTGTATAATGCAGGGCTCTGTCCATTGTACTTATTTATTTAACCACTTTCTTGATGATTTGTCAGATTATTTACCCAAGGAGTATGGAATTCAATTTGACGGTGATAAGATAAACCATTTACTTTGGGCTGATGATTTAATTTTATTGTCAAATACTGAAGATGGAGCACAAAATGTTAAATTGTTTATTTAAGTTCTGTAAGAGGTATCACCTTATTGTTAACACATTAAAGACGAAATCATTAATTTTTAATTCAAAATCCAATGTGAAATTTACTTTTAATGACAACATTATTGAAAGCGTTAACCACTATACACCCATTCTCAATAAGAATGCAAATTCCAGGTATGAATCTGACAAAAATTAAAGTAGCTTTAAATGGTTTAAAGGTGATGTATTTTTATTTGAATATATGTTAAGTATCTAAAGTGAAAATATCTTCATCAATCTCATACCCCTTCATGGAAAAGTCACATGTTGAAGCTTATCTGGTATTCATTTAAAAATGTAAGTCTCTGTCATTTACGTTATAGGGGGTTGTCGAAGCAAGAGACCTATATTTTCATTCAACATATTATTCTCACGTCTGTTTTTGTACCTAACAATAAGGATATATTTTGCCTTAATACTAAATCATACATCAGGCATTTTGAAGATACACAAGTGGAAAGAATTCACATTGAAGTCAACAATTACATGTGACTTATTATTTCTTTTCACAAACAAAACCTAAGTGCTACATGTCATTCCAATTTTATAAAAACTCAGTTTGATAACATTAAATTTATATTTATTTTCTGATTAGAAATAGTGTTCAGAATCAAATGATAGCCATATCTTGGTGTTTGATATGCCATACAAAATTTATTTGAGATTTGTATTTCGTTACACCCTTGGTAACGTATATGATCCAAAAATAGTAACATCGTAGAATGAGTCATATCATATGTCATAATGGTTAAACCATCAACTGGTGCTTCTTTTATCATGTTTACACTGCATTTTAACCAATAGTAACATTTAAAACAAACATAGTTCTGTGGACCATCATGTAACGTAAATGATGGTGAAATTAACTAACTTTTGCAATAGAAACATTAAAGCTAACACAAACAGCATTTATGCACAAAACACGTAATGAATTAATGTATTGTCACATACGCTATATGTTGGAATGAATATGTACAGGATTAAATGGACATAATATTTCTTCACACATTTGTAATGCTAAATCCTTTATAACGTAAGTGATTACAAAACTTACAATCGCAAGATCAAAACTATACTATATAATTTGTGATTATCGTCAAAAAGTTACAACATTCAGTGTCTCCTCTTATATCATAGGTACATATGAACTCCTGAAAACGTTACTTAATCCTAGCTTGGACATATAGATCCCATAGAACACGAGTTTAAATCTCAGTACACAGATCTAGAATTTAAATAGCCCTTTAAACTTCCCTGTTGGAATTGGCTCCTCTACTACACACTCAAAATCTGAGACTCTCAGCCAAATAACGTAACATTCTAGAGACCATTGGAGATTCTTCTTTTCTTAAAAAATAGTATTTATCATCATCAGTATCACATGCAGTGCCTTTTCGATATACCAACAGTATTGTAAACTGAAGTGAAAAAAAATCGCCAAGATGTAGCTCTTTATCTCCACTCTCAGTCTGCATGATGGCCCTGTCAGAATACTCTTGGTTGTCTCTTCTTGTACGTCATTCCTGGTTCATTTCATTTTGTGCGGTGCGCTTTTAAAACTGTTTATTTGCTTCAACAAAATATTCCTTTGCTTGTGGTAAACGTCGAGTACTCATTTCATTTTTGTCCAGCCAGGCAAGGCCCTTAAGCTTGTATCAACTTCCATCGCCTTTACATGTAGTAATATTATATCAACTAGACTTGAACACTTTTCAATCATTTCTCCGCCAGTCATGCTGCGTCTGCTTCGCCTCTTCAACTACGTGTTTTCCTCGTACTAATCTTCTCCTCAACTCTAGGGATATCACTATGCTAAAGTTTGCATCGCATCACTTTTTCCCTGCACTCTTTGGTGTTTTCGGCGTGCTTGGACCCTTGGTTCTATTTTTCTCTGCTTCTGTAAAATCCTTTGGAATGATTTGTGATTGTTTTTCCCTGTTTATCTATGTTCAGGGAGCTTTGTTTTCTTATGGCTACGTACATCCCCAAGTTCTACTTATCCGTTTTCTAAAGAGCCATGCATGTCTTCTTGCAAAATTCCAGGCAAAATTAATATGAACTATAAATTGTGTGTGTTACTTGTACCACTGCCATAAACAAGGTCACAATCATTGTTATCGGCATTACTTGGGTCATTGCTAACAGTCTCTCTTCTTTTTGATTTGTCTCCTGTATTATTACGCTATCTGAGACTAACATAACATGTCTCGGGCGCAATGACATAATTCTTTCTTTTATGGTCTTTATCTTTTTCAGATAGTGTGCGCAGCTATTGAGACAATGCATTTATGAACCTGAGTACGCTCTTTTTGGTGCATTTTTCCTATCACGATAGTCTTTTTGAATTTCAGCAGGATGCTTTCCCATCTACGAAAAGTACAAGTTGATAAATGAACATATCTGTAAAGATTTGACGACAGAAAATGTGTGCAATAGAATTTATCAATTACGTTAGCATCGGTAACGTAATTTATGACATAGAAAACGCAAGACTATAGCTTCAATTCAAAATGAATGATGGAAAAGTGTTTTTATGTTCATTTTCACATTTATACCGACTGTGTTTATGCCATAGATAACATCAAATTAACACTTCATCTTCTTTTAACAAGAGAGATACTATATTAGGTGTGATATATACCTTATATTGTGCGGATTTACTCTAAAAAGGTGGTAGTGTTTCTTTATTCAGATTTAAATGAATATGGATACTCAAATTTCCCGCTTTATAAACTTTATTCAGAGCTAGGAGTATGGTAACCATTATTTTCGTACTACTAGGTATCGTAAATGATGGTGTCGTAAATGATGCAAATACCCTTTTGCTGGCTGTATTATATTCAAACAATGTCAATTTAGTTAAAAATACTGATCAGCAAGGATCACTCCTACCATACAATAAGGTGATATAACATTAATATGCTCAGACACTTATTGCCTTTGGAAAATATGATCACGTAAATGATTTTCTTATCTATAACTTCATGAAAAACGGGAATTATAATTTTCTGGCCCCCAAATCTCAACGTTTCAAATATCAACTTTTACGACTTTCTATTAAGTATTCAAATTGGAATCCAGATACGTATATGGCACATATAAAACATTAATTTTTCACCAGTTTTTATATGATTTATAGCACAAGGAGGTTGATATAAAAAAGTCTGGCGACATTTGTCAAGGAACATTTTCAACATGGTAAAAATGTCAAAATGATAGTTTCTGTCATTTAACCAGAAGCTGGGATCGTCTTGTGTATAATACACCACTTTATATGGGATGTTACGCATGAAAAATGTTCTAATGGCACGATACAATCCTGATTTTTGATATGGCGACAGTCACGTAACTGATGAATAGCCCTATTCTAATACATATAATAAAATAGGTGTAACTGAGAAATTATATATTACATACGTGCTAGGTAGAGGGTCATATATACTATGTATATATACAACAAAAAGTGATGTTGGTAATGTAAATGCTGAGATTGAGCCCTGGGTCACCTATTTTGCATTCTTATTGAGAATGGGTGTATAAATATTTGGGCTGCATTTTCAATAATAACATTAATTTTGATAAACACATATGTTATCTACAAGAACAGGCAAGGAAAGCCCTTTTTAAAATTAAGCAACAATATAAAAAATTTAACGATGATCTCTGTTACCCTGCATCTTTTTGATAGCTTGATTGAACCAATTTTAATGTATATCTCTGGGATATGGTATAGTAAGAAGCTTGTAAAAGCTATAGAGGCAATACACTTATCATTCCTTATATGTTTGCTTGGTGTGAAAAAATCAACAGCTACACCAGCTGTTTATGGGGAGCAAGGACATTATCCTTTAAAAATTTGTTTTGACATTAAGCTGATTAAATATTGGCTGCATTTAATGAAATTACCTGAAGAAAATATGCTCAATATAAATCATATTTGTATGATCTTGAAATGAATGGTTTAGGTTACTCTGGCACTAGGTCTTGTAACATTATTGATATATTAAAACAATGTGATTTATTTTCTCATTGGTTGACTCAAAACGCTGAAGAGGATTATATATTCATTTAAATGATCACAAAGAAATTAAAAAGTAATTATGCACTTCAATGGAAACAGGATATTCTTACTTTTCCTGTACTTAGGACCTATATAAAATTCAAAAATACTTTCACCAAAGAATCATATTTAAACATTCAAAAAAAGTATAGACATACATTAACTAGGCTCAGGATGAGTTCACATAAATTACAGATAGAAGTTGGGCGGTACTCCAAACCAAAGCCAAAACCCAAAAGTGAGAGGTTGTGTAGCGAATGTGGGGTAATTGAAGATGAGCTTCACTTTATCACAAGCTGTACAAAGAACTTAAAACACAGAGAACTTTTGTTTGAAACTTTAAAATCTGATCTGAAACAGTGCAAAGATCAAGATAAACTGTTTGAAACTATTATGTCTAGTAAAAGCTCTCATGTTAACTTACATTTAGCCAAATTTGTATATCCCTCTTTTAAAAATTTGGAAAATGATTAATATTATGTAAACATTTAAAAAAACACATGTATTATGGATACACCACACTGATATTCTGTTATCATACCCTGACATGTGAAACTGATGTAGAGTAGTTTTGTAATATGTAGTTTGTAGTTTTTTGTACACTGTAGAGACTGATATGTCATTTGCATAACATGGTTATTAAGTCAATAAAAGATATATATATATTATTAAATACAAGTGGAGAAAATTACGCTTTTCATCCAGATTTTTAAAGAGATGATATCTTCTATTTTCAAAACCTCCCTTAGGATAATGGGTATACATTAATTGTCTACATACCAAAGCCTGAGCTGCAGGGGTGCCTGAGAGTCTACGTTTATGTAGTGGACTTTTCATTGATGATTTTATCGGAGAATCACTATCTGTGTCTCTATGGTAACTGAAACAAAACAGAGTAATCACTATATGAAATGTCTCTAAGGTAACTGAAACCTCTGTGACCCTTTGGTAATTGAAATAAAACAGAGGAAATATGGTATGTTTCTTTATGGTAACTGAAATACTGAAATAAAACAGAGAAATCACTACTACTATTTGTGTATCCTATGGTAACCAAAATTAAACATAGAAATCTCTCTGTAGTAACTGATATAAAGTAAAAAGGACACAAAAGTGTACAACATGTCCCCACCGATGGGTTATCCTGTAATTTTTCATCCTCAGTGCCCAACACAAATCAGTTGAAGAGACAATTAGAGACCCAATTTTATGACGGAAAATCCAAAATGGCCACCTTAATATTTACCCAGAATGCCAAAAGCCTAATCAGATTTCCAGATTTTCATACAAAGAATCATCCCTGACAAGGAGCATGTACTGGTTATCGCAAACAATTTCAGAAGGTTATATCTTGGTCTATGGCTATTTTCTGACAATGAAGACAGGTTATCTTTTAGATCAATTCATTATCTCAAAGAAAACTATATACAGTAATAAATAAGTCAAACAAACTTGGAGATATTTAACTAGCAATCAACCCATCAACACACTTTTCAAAGACGTTGACCTGATTTTCACCAAAAATGCAATACTTTTTTACAATTTTTAATGCATTACTGTTCTTTTTCTTTATTCTGATGTATCAAATAGTTCTTGAAAGAATAACTTCATTGCTTTAAGATAAGTGTTCCCCATGTTATTTCTCCATTGAAAAATCTCATGCTATCCATTGGTTTCAGTTCATTTTGGTCATCCAAATGCAGTATCTTTAAAGTCCCTGGAGCAATCAACTTTTCCTTTTAGGAAATCAAACATGTCTCAAAGCACATTCTAATTATGCATTCAACAACATAATAAAAGGTTGCATTTTTGGTGAAAATTAGGTCAAAATTTTGGAAAAGTATGTTGATTGGTCCATTGCCCCTTCAATATCACTTAGGTCTGATTAACTAAATTATCATTATACATATTTTTCTTGAAGATAATGAATGGATCTAAAAGATACACTCATGTTCATGATCAGAAAATATTCATAATTCAAGTTAGAATCGTTTGAAATTGTTTGCGATAACCTACATGGTCCTTTGGAATTGATCCTTCAAATGGTTTGTCTGGTCATGGGTAGACAAGATTTTAGAGACAAGATTTTAGCACAGAAAATCCAAAATGGCCATCTTAAAATTTATGAAGAATGCCCAAAACCTAATCAGTTCCAGATTTCATACAAAGAATCATCCCTAAAAATTGATCCGTAAAAAGAGTTGCCTGAAAATGCTTAGATAGGACTTTACAGACAAGATTTTAGGATGGGACAAATCAAAAATGGCAACCTTAAACATTTACACAGAATGCCAAAAGAACTAATCAGTTCGAGATTCTTATACAAAGATTCATCCCTGAAAATTTGAAATCGATCTGTGATATGGTTTGCCTGGAAATGTGTAGACAAGGCATTAACATGACAAAATGTCACCACCTTGTTGCTCACAATATTATGAGTTCAATCTTTGGTCAGATTTGAATTTCTGAGAACTTGTAGATGATTTTGAAAAAATAAATTGGTCAATTTGAAGCAAGATGAAAAAATACCTTTTAACTTTGAGAATGTTATTGAAGGTCAAATCTTTTTTGATCTTGAGAATGTCATTGAAGGTCAAATCTATAGTCAGATTTGAACTGTTGAGAACTTGTAGCTGATTTTGAAAAAAATTGGTCAATTTGAAGCAAGTTGAAAAAAGACCATTTTGACCTTTTTTGGCCTTGAGAAGGTTATTGAAGGTCAAATCTTAAATCTCAAGTCAGATTTGAACTTCTGAACTTGAAGATGATTTTGAAAAAAGAAATTGGTCAATTTGAAGCAAGTTGAAAAATACCTTTTTGACCTATTTTACCTTGAAAAGGTCATTGAAGGTCAATCTTAAATATAAAGCCAGTTTTGAACTTCTGAAAACATGTAGATGATTTTGAAAAAAATTGAAGTCCGTCTAAACTGTATTTGTTAAGTTATTGGAAGTTGTAAAAATTTGTAACAGACCCTGATTGCCCATCGCAAAGCACCAACCGCCATCAAAAAAAAGAATACCATAACAATACGTCACCACTTTTTGGTGGTGACATACCAAAACTTTACAGACAAAAGTTAAACTTTTGCCAATTTTTTAAAGAAAATTATCACCTACAACTACTGTGAAGAGTGGCGTGTATTTTTACTAAACAGGACACCTAAAACTATTTATAAAGCTAAAAAATAGATGAATTATGAAAAACTCAAAAACAGCTTGTAACATAATACATAGTATTATCGCTCGCTGACTTTTTTTAAGACATTCAAAACGGCTGCCATGACTGAGCCAACATGTCCAAAACCTAATCAGATGTAGAATGAAGTGAGTTAAAGAAGATTTTAAAGTTTTAAACTGAGAAGCCGGTTTTCTTAAAGTTTGCAGACAAGGATGTTAGCATTTGACTTCAAAATGGCCAACAGGAGGTACTAGTAGGTATCGAGTTGAGATTTTCTGTACCACATCTGTATGTACTCATAAGTCATCCCTGAAAATTTGAAGATGATATCTGTAGTGGTTTTGGAGAAAACTGTCGGACATACAGACGGACTGACAGACAGACATACAGACAGACGCGGCAAGGCTGACAATATGGCCCCACACTATGTGATGGGGACATAAAAATGAGAGAAATCTCTATCTGTGTCTCTATGGTAACTGAAACAAAACAGTCATGGTAATGGGCAATGTCTATGTGTAAATCAAAAAAAAAAAAAAGGGTAATTGATGCACTATTGATGCGCTTTATGTCAAGGTGGTCACGTTTTGAAATGCGAAACACACTGAAATAGAGTGATAAAGAATGAAACCAGCAAAGAATAAAGTAAATAGGCAAGTAAAACATTAGGATTTTAAAGGAAAAGCAATAGCAAATGTTCGTCCTTTTTATTTAGCTCTAACTTTGACAAATATTTTATTTAGCTCTAACTTTGACAAATATTGTCAAATTTGTAAAAAATATGTATTTTTCTATGATCAGTAATATCATCAAATATATTAAAACATCAAACTCTATATTAAGAAAATAAGATATCGCAAATGCAAGTAAAAAATGCTCACAGCTATTTAAGTGGTTCAACAAGTCCTGCTCATATATTGTAGTATATGAGCTCAATTTTATCGACGCTATTAGAATAATAATAATTTGATGGTTCATAAAATCATCTGTAATAGTCATATGTTTAATACTGAGGCTCATTAATGCAGATTTAGGGTTAAAATGATTCTGTCACTCACCTACTAATACTAACTTTTCGAGGAGAAATCCCTAGAATACTGGCGTTTTTACGACATTCCTCATTCAACTCCTGCACAATTGCCCTTTCCTGGCGATCTATGGAACTTATCCGGGCAGAGGTGGTCACCTGATGTTGGAGTTCTTGGATTTTGGCATCTTGGTCCCTAATTGTCTCTCTTAACCTTTCAATATCTTGTTCCTTCATCTAGGAAATAGCAAGAAACATTGATGATGTCATTAACAACCTACATATATCGGGTGTCCCTAAAAATGAATCGCTTTTTGACAAGTATTTTCTCAGCAATATTAATTGATTAATCAAATTCATTTAAAATTTTCATAAAGTAGCCATAGCTTATATAGCGTCAGAAGTGGCTCAAAATTCAATCTTAATATTTCATTTGATATATTGTAAATGTTCGAAATAATCTTCAAAAACATCGAACAATAAAAAATGTATTGATTCAAATGTTAGAAGCATCAAAGCAAAGTTTCAAAATATCAAACATAAAAAAAAGTGTCAAAGATTATTTTAAAAACTTTGAATAAGAAAAGAAAATATATAAAATAAGAAAATCCCATGTCAAACCTAATGTTCCATAGTTCAAACTAATAATTACACCACAAACTAACTTAAAGTCAATATTCATTTACTATTTGTCAGGACTTAAAAAGTGATTTTAGAGATTTTTTAACAAAAAAATTTTTTTGAAATGAAAGTTGTGAGCATTTCATTTCTCAAATATTCAAATTTCCCGCCATTTTTCAAAAAAAGTTGAAATTTCTTAATCATCAAATATTTCTTAATGCATTTCAAAAAAGATTATATTTTTAACACCAATGCAAAGATTGAACAAAAGACACACTATTTCAATATCAAAATGTCATATTTAATGGGCCACTTCAATGTTTTAGCTTGTCAAAAATATTTTAAAACATTAGTGATGTCACCAAGGTAACAAAAACTTTTTGAAAAAAATTGAATTTTTTTTTTCGATGTCAATCTTTTCTAAATATGCTAGACTTTCATAAAAACCAATGTTGATTGTCTAACCAGGTTAAAAGGAAGAATAAATTATGTTTTAGATATCATTGTACCATTGGTTTCTATGAGAACTAAAATTTTGAAATGCATTTTTCTCAGAACCATTTTCATGCACTGATAAGTTCATTTCTCGCTTGTTTATCAACCGATTTTCTTAATTTTTTCGGCAAAGAACATGGGAGGATGATTGCTATGCATTGGTATGAATTGTGGCTAATTAGAAGATACGAGTGACCTTTAAAAGTTGGTTTTAAATAAATTCACAAATTTTGGAACAAAAAGTCTATCAAAAACCACTTTTTGAAATTAAAAAAAAAAGTTTCACATATCACACTTTGATAACATTGGGTAAGACTACAATATAAGCCAAAGTGGTTTAAACTTTACATGGGGCCTTTAATGTTTTGAACTTCTGTACATTTCGTGTATGAAGTTTTCATTTTTATGTTAGAACTTCAAAGGTAGTCTGCAGTTAGAACCTGTGAACGTTTTTCTTATTCGATCTTTCAATTTTCTATTCGAACTTTTATTGGTATTCTGCAGTTCGAACCTGTGAAAATTTTCTTATTCGATCTTTCATTGGTTTTTTCTATTCGAACTTTTTTGGTATTCTGCAGTTGTATCTTTCTTTTGCGCATGCGCGAATTAGAACAATCGTGTCGAAACATTGGAACATACCCTAAAGCGAAACACTTCCGGGCGGGAGTCATCATCGTCATTATCATCATCATCTGATGAGTTTGCATTTACACTAAACACGTAAATATATAAACATAAAGCTACTAGTAAAATTTTGAACGACGCCATTTGTAATCCGGAAGTCTGAGAGGATCCGCATGCGCCTACTCTTAAATACAACACCACCCACTGCGCATGCGCAAATACCAATTAACCAATATAATTTTGATTCTTACGTTAAATTTTTTGTTTCGAACTTTGAACAATTTGGGTTTGAACTATTACCATTTTGGTTCGAAACATTTAAATATTTTGGTTCGAACCTTTTCACATATTTGGATTAGAAATTGAATGAAGCTTATTTCTGAAAGAATATCTTCAATCTTTTTCGAATGCTTAAAAATTAACATCGAAGCTACATTTTCTGGCAATTCAAAAAAATATTTCAGTTTGACACTTTACTTTTATTGTTTGTTGTTGTGTTTTTCGTGTTTGACTATTTGATCTTTAGTTCGATGTTTTTTTTTTTTCTTTTGAAGTTGCTTTTTTCACAGTTTGGACTTGAGATTTAGACATGGATGAGACGTGTAACTATTCATTTGTATAATTAAATACTAAATATGGATCGATTGAATAAAAATTTCACATTTCAACACAAACTTTGAAAGTTTGGATTGAAAAGTGAAATTTCAAACAAGGAAGGGGAATTATCAAACGAAGAATTGATTAATTTGAAGAAAAATTGAACTGAAAGTGAAAATTTATTGAATAAAAATGAAATATCAATCATAAAATTGAAAAGATCGAATAAAGACGCAGTAAAAATGCCATAAGCTTAGGGTATCATTAGTAAGTTGTAAATATATGAAAGAGATCAGTTGCATATTATGAGAGATCTGACAAATTCAAAAATGCATGTCAAAAATCCAATATCAATGGAAAAGTCACTTATTTCAGTCTGAAAGCTGTTTTTTCCAAGCAGAAATTCTTTTGTGTATTTTTCCATCAATATCGCCTCAATGATATAATTATCCCATCCTTTAATGTATGTTGGGTGTAGTGCATTTTTGTTCATAAGTTTATTGACAGTTAACATGACTCTAATGATTGTGATTGATTGATTCATGATTGATCATCCACCCAAACCTTTCACCTTGAAAATGTTTTCAATAGTAGCTCATTTGTCACTTTAAGGCATTGTTTATCCATCCCTCAAAACTGAAATTTTGGGACAGAACATATTTTGGAAACAGAGAACGATGAAACAAACTAATCAATAAACCTGACACAGACAAGCTGTTTTTGAGACTAAAACTGTTTTACAGATTCACCTGATAGCTGGCACAAATGCTATGAAGTTTCATTGCACAGCTTTAATTTTGGATTTTGTGACATGCATTTTTGAATTTGTCAATTCTCACAGAATATGTAACCAAGCTCTTTCATATTTGTATGAAATTTTCAATTTTGAGGGATTAATTGCTGAGAAAACACTTGTCAAAAATTGATTCATTATTTTGGGACACCCGATATATTATATTAGACTGTTGAATAACGTATAGTGAATGACTTCATAAAATTATATCACAAAAAAATGTAATTCAAAATCCAAGCTGGTCATAAACATTTTGCACTTTTGAAATTGATTTTAAGAAATTGATTTAAGAAAAACTCCCATAATTTAAATAATACCATAGATGATGAAGCCTAAAAATGATAGTGCCATTAGACTAAGGTCAAAATTAAGACACATAAATCCTCACAAAGAAAGGAAAGGGTGCACACCTCTTTTTCTCTTAAAGAATCTTTCATCTCGTGTGCAGCCTCTCTTTCAATTTCTTTCCCATGACTAATTGCAGCCATCTTTTCTTGAAGAGCTTGACGTTTTTGTTGCCGAGACTCTTCCAGTTCCTGGAAGAATAAATAATCCCAAATATAGTAATATTTAGCATAATTGAACCTTGTTCAATGTTCTTTTCACCAGGGTCTGTTTCAAATGGTCAAGATTTAATGACCATTTTTCAAAACATGTTCAAAATGCTGGTCTTTTCTTTAGAGGCAAACTTGAGCAGTGAAGTTTTCTGACTACACACTCACAGTTATCTTGCGTAATGGCTCTCACTTTTCTTCTAACCTCTTGTTTCAACTCTCTGATGCTTCTAGGGTTGTAGATGTACATATCGCTCCAAAGATTTCTGAATTCTGGGAGCTCATATTTGGTATGTTTTGGCAATATTGGAGCATGTTTTGTGAAATAGCCTTAAAAAGATGACCATATGAAACAGCCAGAAATCGTAGACATATGTTTTGAATTTTCCCAGGATGTAAACAAATGTACAGTACATGTATATATACACGTACATGTATGTATAAGGGGCTTAGAGAAAAAACCACAGTAATGCCTTGGTCACATAGGCTCCGATTTTCACTACGGCCCCCGGCCGATGAGTATTTTGTTCAAAATCGGCTGGCGAGCCCGGGCATCGTACGGGCGCCGGGCGATGATCACCACTCATCGGCCGATTTTTAGACATTGTACGACGCCGGCAGAGTTTTATCGCGGAGATAAAAGTTGCCGATGTCTTGGCGATTTTTTCTCAACTAAACTCATCGGTACCTACCCGGCCGTGTCCCGTCCGGTCATCGTACGATTATCTTACGGCGCCCGTTGGCATCGCACGGTCATCTTGGGATTTTACGTGCTGATTTGTTTGATAAATCTTAATGATGATTACAGTGATATAAAGGTTTTAAAATTAATGAGGTAAAAAATTATAATTACTACACACTGTCAGAGATTTTTTTATAAAACATAAATGGAACGATTAGGCTTACTGTAAAACAATGACACACATTTGAATGGCTGGTTGGGTTGATCTAGTCGTTTTTATATTGGCATTAATAGTGTATGTCTATCTGTCATACACATTGAATAGAGTGATGCATTTTTATGCATATATTCACTCATGCATATACCATTACAAATCATTTATTTTAAAAATCTTCTGAATGTTTTTGTGAGTACAGTATTTTCAAGGGTCACAATTTTAATACGAAAGTTCACTGTCTCAATTACAGTTAATATGCCAAAGGCTAAGGATAGAGGGGATAAGGCCAATGGGTCATATATGAGGAAGGCCTTGGGAAGACAGGTGGAGAAAGACATTAACAATGCTAGTGAGCTGGTGGATGATGAAGATTTAGATGTGTCTAGGGAAGAGGGTACTCCACTTGAAATAGAAGAAAAAATTGCCAATTTCTTTGAGAGAACAGACAAAAGAAAGATGCAGAAATATCGAATTTTGCTAATAGCAACAGATGGACAGTTAGACATAGTATTTGTCTATATGAAAGATCTAAAAATGAATTAAGGTCAGGGTGCACTTTGATGAAAAGACCACGTGCAGTATGGCAAGTGACTTTAGATGGTCATATCTGTTATATCCTTAAATAACTATTTATGTGGAAATGAGTAATAAACAATAGAGAATAATTTAATGTTGTTTCATCTTTTATTTATAACTCAGAACGAGGCTGTACAGTAATGTCTATACCAAATACCCTTTTCAACTCTAATTTGATATGACAAAGGACCCAAAACTTTAGAGACAACTCCAGGTACCCATTTCTCACTACCTATATAGTTTCTCACAAGTACAGGTTCATCAAGACCAAAAGTTCTCAATTTTGAATGTTTAGCAGAATACTCCATCTGTTTATGCAACTGACTATTGACTTTATTTTTATGACTTGGTCTAATATTATCTAGTCGCGCACGCAGGGGGCGTTTCATCATTAACATTGCAGGGCTCTCCCCTGTGACACTATGTGGAGCATTTCTGTAAGCGAGTAAAAACCGGTCAAGTTTAGTTTGTGCCGAACCACTATCAATACAAGCGGCTTTTAGACCTTGTTTGAATGACTTTACAAATCTTTCAGCCTGGCCATTTGTGGATGGTTCATAGGGGGCACTGTATTTATGCTGAATTCCATGCATTTGTAAATATTGCTCAAATTCGGTAGATGTTAGTGACGGACCATTATCAGACACCAAAATCTGTGGATAACCCATTCTACTGAATAAAGTACTCAAAACTCTTATAGTTCTCTCAGAAGTAATAGATGTCATTTCAAACACTTCCGGCCATTTTGAATACGAGTCCACCACTACAAGGTAATTACGATTTTCAAATGGACCTGCGTAATCAATATGAATTCTCTCCCATGGATTTGAAGCTGGTATCCACGGATGAAGCGGAGCTTTTGAGGGGTTCTGTTGGATTTTCTGACATGGTTCACAGAATTTTGCTTGTTGTTCTATTTGTGAATCTATACCTGGCCACCATACATACGTACGAGCTAAAGCTTTCATTTTCACAATCCCTATGTGACCTGTATGTAACTCACTAAGTACTTCAGAACGACATTTGGTTGGGACAATGACACGTAAACCCCATAACAAGCAACCCTGTTCAATGGTTATCTTGTCTTTGCGATGAAAAAATGCTTGCAAAGCTAGTTCACTTTCAGGTAATTTTGTCGGCCAACCATCAATGGTATATCTCATTACTTTGGACAAAATCGGGTCATTTCTCGTTTGATTCGCTATTTGTCTACTACTAACTGGAAGAATATCGAGGTGAAAAACATGACCTACCACTTCCTCAAAGTTTTCTGTGGGCTGATTATACGGTAACCTTGACAACGCATCGGCATTTGCATTTTCTTTACTACTACGAAACCGTATTTCATAATTGAAACCAGCCAAGTACATTGCCCATCTTTGCATTCGCTCAGCAGCTAATATCGGTAAATCACGTTTATCTCCAAAAATGCTAACTAAGGGTTTATTGTCAGTCCATAGAATGAACTTATGACCATACAAAAACGCATAAAATCGCTTGAGACCGAATATTATGGCAAGAGCTTCCCTTTGAACTTGCGGATAATTTTTCTCAGCTTGCGACAGTCCTCGCGATGCGAATTGGATTGGACGTTCTTCCCCATTTGGCATGATATGAGATATGACACTACCCACTCCCACTGGAGATGCATCGGTTGCTAAAGAGATGGGAAGATTGGGATCAAAGTGGACTAGAAACCCTGACTGTATGAGTTTTTTCTTAGATTTTTCAAATGCATTATTGGCACTCTGATTCCACTCAAACTTCTTTTTCTCTAATAAAGCATTGAGAGGGGCGATCACGGACGCTAAGTCTGGTATGAAACGACGGTAGTAATTCAATTTACCGAGGTATGAACGGAGACTAGTGACATCATTTGGTTTACTAACTTGGAGTATTTCATCCACTTTCTTTTCTGATTTGTGGACCTCATGTTTATTAATGACATGTCCGAGGTAAGATATTGAGCTTTTCATAAACTCACATTTTGATTTCTTACATTTTAAGCCATATTCATTCAGCGTGACAGAACACAATCAAGATTTTCTAAGTGCTCTTCTTCTGTATGACCTGTTATCAATATGTCATCTAAGTACACTTGTACCCCACTAAGACCATGTAAAATTCTCTCAATGGCAGATTGCCAGATAGCCGGGGCAGAAGTGATACCATAGACAAGTCTATTTTGCATGAACAGACCTTTATGAGTAGTAAGAGTCAAGTATTGTTTGGATGTGTCAGTTAACTCCATTTGATTATAAGCATGAGCTAAGTCTAACTTAGAGAATGAGACACCTCCAGACAAACTTGCTAAAATATCATCTACATTTATATTTGGTGGTGCCACGTGCTTCAGCACTGGATTAATTGTGGTTTTATAATTCCCACACAACCGTACACTACCATCTGACTTTGGAACACAAACAATCCCTGTAGCCCATTCTGAATGACTAACTGGGGTGAGAACACCACATTTTTGTAATCTTTCAAGTTCCATGTCAACTTTTGGCTTTACAGCATATGGCACCCTGTACGCTTTGGACCTCACAGGTGTTACATCATCTTGCAGTACAATATCTGCTTTAATATGTTTCATTTTACCTAATGTACCGTCAAATACACACTTTCTTTAACAATGTGTCAAGGCTACTGACAGATTCCACCTTAGCTTTTACATTATTGACTTCAGATACAGATTTATTTTCAGGTTTCGACTTCAGATTACCTTGAATCACATTTTTCCAATTGATCTGAATTTCTCTCAGCCAATCTCTACCTAGTAGCACATGCTTTGTGTGTTTTACAACATATATTGGTAACATTTTACATTGTTTCTCATATTTGACCCTCACTTTAATTCTACCAACTGGTTTTACACTTTCCCCTGTAAAGCTACAAAATTGCTTGTTAGATTTCAACAATTGCACATCAGCAAATTTTTGTAGATATACATCATGGGGCATTATAGAAACAGCGGAGCCAGTATCTAACTCCATGGCTATTATTTCACCATTTATTTTCGGATTAATCATTATAGCATCACTATCATTCTCACACAAGATATCACTGGATGAATCATGAGAAGCCACTTTCAACACTGTGTAGTCTTCTGACGAATCTGAATCATCACTATTTACATCATCGACACACTTAACATGAACTTTATTTCGTTGTTTTGATGAACTATGCTTCTTTTGTGAATGGCGTTGCTTTCTCTGTGCTTTGTCCTCATCACCATTAGAGTCTCGTTTCTGTTGTTTGGACGATTTACTTCGGCATTTCCTCAAAATATGTCCTAATTTGCCGCAATTATTACAAATGGTCGATTTAAACCAGCATTTGTCCGGGTCATGACCACTTCGGCCGCAACGGTAGCACTGACTATTGCATGTACTCCTGACAGTCTTTACATATGACTCACTTTGCGTGGTATGGAACATTGACTTAGATTCCTTAAATAAGACTTCCCGACGAACAGCAAATTCCACGCATTCATTAAATGGCATG